AAGTTGAGCCTTCTCAACCAACTTGACAGCTTGATTGCTTCGCGTCAATAGTGTAGACTGTCAGAAGAATATCGATCCTCTACGTCAGAACGTGATGGAGTAGTAGTATAGAGTCGGATAGGATTGGCTCCGAGGCAACAATACTGTACCAAAAAAAGCTACATACACTACACTACGTATACCATCGGCTCGGAGGCGTTGAACCTCACAAGAGAACAGCTTGGCTTCAACTGCTTCGAGCCTTCGACATCGGTGGATCTTGACTCATGTTCCAGATCCAGACGACCTCCTTGCTGCGACTCCATTCTGTCATGGCGATGCGTATCTACACTACGGCGTAGCAGTGTCAACGCCTACGACACGCGTCCATTGTTGCTTTCTGCGGCTGTGCGCCAACCGCCAACTGCCATGGTATCTTCCACCGCCAAGCGATATTCTTCCTGCCACTCTTTTCCGCTCTTCTAAACCGGTCGAATGCAGTCCGGAAGATTCGCTTCCTTCTCGATAATACCTATCAATCGCTTCTCGATCCCAGTCAACCACCAGCTGCTGGTGGATTACGCATTGAAGGGTACGCTAGTGTAGGCTGTGGATGGACGGAATCCTCGGTCGCTGTCGCGGGTGGGTGGCGGCTCTGAAAGTGGATGCAAATGCGCCCCCGCGAGAATGGAATGCGAGAGTGAAGAGAAGAAACCGGCAGCAGTTGGGCAGTCTCTTTCGATAGGACGCTAACAGGGTTGGGGTCATTTGGCCGTGCTTCTTCTGCAAAAGAAGGTCTTTTTGCATTAGTCCCTTGCAGCAAGCGACTTTCCCCAGGTTTTGGGTCCACCACTGCCTGGGATCTGTCATTTGTCAATCTTCCAACATCCCTGAAAGCGGTCACTGGAAGCTTCAACGCCTTTTTGTTTTACACTCACTACACTACAATTGGGATTGCGACATTTGCAAACTTTTTTTTCTTCCTTTGCTTTCTGGAACTGTTGATGCTACTCAGCCGCAATGACACATTTACTTGTTGGGGCTAGAGTGTCCAAATGTTCCAAGGTGTGAGGAGAAGAGCGGACATAAGGAATTCTTAACCCCAACAGTTGCCCAATTTCCTGGGTGCTTTATGTATCTTGTTGGTTTCCTTTTCCCCCAACTTTGGAAAAGTAGATGCACCACTCAGACAATTTACAGTTGAAATGTAACCACACCGTGTTGACACTTGACCAGTTCCTTGATCCTTCGCTTATCAGATCCGATCATCACCATCTTGAAGAGGAAAGCGGTGACATGGTGGCCGTTCACGGGAAGTGCCTGGTTGGTCCTGGGATCGTGAAAGAGTCACATGTGCATCTGACAGCATCTGCGACGAGAATTTGCCGCTTCGATTCGGACTTTGCAAACATCCCGTCCGAGCCGCACTTCAACATCCAAGCACCCTTGTCGCCATGCCAATAAGGTTCTCATGGAACTTCATGTCATTAAAAAAGGTACCCGTCCTCCAACGAGTTCCTCCGAGGTCACACTGACGACCAGAGGATCCCCACCCCCTTCCATCAAGTGGATCTCCGTATTCCCAACCAGGTCCTACCTCCTTTCTCCGGCGTCCGTTCCGGTTATCACCGAAGCCGCTCGGAGCAGCGGAGCCGGATCAAGGCCGAGAGCTTGACTTCTTTGGGACGTTATTAGTGTCGGACCCAAGGGGTCTTTGGAGATCCTAGATGCTAAAAAAATCCACACTCGCATTGAGGCATTTCCCTAAATTCCCTGGCAGCGAGTCAACCATCAAATGGCAAGTTCAGGCCGATATCTGGACCAACAAACATACCACGAATCAGAAACAGCTACGTCGGACAACTTGATCTTGATTACTCTCTGGCGTCTGTTCACGTTTATTGTTATATGGTATATAATCTTCCCTTCTGTCATTCTCTGCATGCTGGTGATGATATCCTGTTCTTAACTTGTTTCCCTCTACATCTCATAAACGCCAATTTGGTGAACACGAACATCACATGCTTGACGGCCTGCAATAACCGCTATGGATCCAAACTTGGGTTGCAACCAAGAGGTTGGCGATGAATGAGATGACAGGATGCACTATACCTAATCCCTACCTCGAGCTCTAATCAATCACTCAAGTTTGGCCGGCCTAATTTCATGTGTCCCGAATATAGATCTTGCTCTTCAAAACACACATGTCACACTATGTATTCACTTCCTGCTATGCCAAAAGCAATAACGGTCGCACCTCCTCAGTTACGTGCCAAACAGTTCGTGATGTTGATGTTTACACGCGGAAGGGGCTCACCACACAATCGCCCCGCATTGTCGGTGATATCGACCCCACCTGAACTTAAGCTCTCCTGAATGGCTCTTCATTCGAGATTCACCACTGCAACAACTTACCATTGTGCCTGACCATCATCCCAATCAACAACTTCCACTTGGCACATCCAACAACACATCCTTGTGAGCCTTCTTGGTAATAATTTACGTGTATTTCATCTCCAGTTGTTGTTACACCACCACAACCTTGCACCATCGCATCGTCAACGCCAAGATTGAACCCCCTTTCCGCCCCTCACTTGCTCTCTCAACAAACACCAAAGACAGTCATCTGCATAGACACAAATATGGCTTTGGCCGTCTCGGCTCCCGGCAAGGTCCTCCTTGCAGGCGGATATCTAGTCCTCGACCGCAACTACACCGGCCTCGTCTTTGGTCTCAGCGCCCGCATCAACGTCATCTCCCGGGACATCCAGGCCAGCCCCGGGGTTCACATTAACGAGATCATCGTCAGGAGCCCTCAGTTCCTGAAAGCCGAATGGCGCTACGGCTACCACCTGGCCGATGAAGACGGCGGCATCAAGACGATCCAGCTACAGGGAGGCGCCTCTGCCTCGGCCAAGGGCAACCCCTTCGTCGAGACTACGCTCAACTATGCGCTCACCTACATCACCCGCCGCGCCGCCTACGGGACTACGCAAACCCTGAAGCCCGTCACCCTCACCATCCTCGCCGATAACGACTATTACAGCTCGCCCACCAACAACAGCAACGCCGCCGGAAAAGGCAGCGGTGGCAGCCGCTTCGCCGCCTACTCCACCACCCTGGAAGACGCGCACAAGACAGGCCTTGGCTCCTCTGCCGCCCTCGTCACCGCCCTGACCGCCTCCCTGCTTTCTCACTACCTAGACCCTTCCCTCTTCGACCTCGCCACCGACGAGGGCAAGCGTATCCTGCACAATCTCGCGCAAGCAGCTCACTGCGCTGCGCAGGGTAAAGTCGGCAGCGGGTTTGATGTAGCTGCCGCCGTCTACGGATCCAGCCACTACCGCCGCTTTTCGCCTTCCATTTTGTCGTCTCTGCCCGAGGCGGGCAAGCCTGGGTTTTCCGCCAAGCTGTTCAGCGTTGTGAATGGTAAGGATGCTGAGTCTCAATGGGACACCGAGGTTGTGAAAGATGCTGTAAGCCTGCCCAAGGGCGTGGCGGTGCGCATGTGCGATGTCGACTGCGGCAGCCAGACGGTCGGCATGGTCAAGCAGGTGCTTGCGTGGCGGGCGGCTCAGCCCAAGGAGGCCAAGGAGTTCTGGGATGAGTTACAGCGCAGGAACGAGAAGTTGGCCAGCGTGTTGAAGGAGGGCAAGACGGAGGCGATCAGGCCGGCGGTGCACGCTATTCGCGAGCTGGTGAGGAAGATGGGCACGGAAAGCGGGGTACCGATCGAGCCGGATAGTCAGAAGGAGTTGTTGGATGCGCTGGAGGAAGGGGTGGAAGGTGTCTATGGGGGTGTGGTACCGGGTGCGGGAGGGTATGATGCCCTGGCGTTGCTGGTAAGGGATGATGAGGAGACAACGAAGAGGTTGGAGGAGTTTCTGAGCGGGTGGAGCAAGAAGAAGGGAGGCAAGGTTAGGTTGATGGAGGTGAGTGGGGAGATGGAGGGCGCGAGGAAGGAGAATTTGTTGAAGTATCAGGGGTGGGTTTAGAAATTTTTATTTCTTTTACGATGAAAGCTTGAGCATGTGAGCGGGAGAGCGGGTGCTACAGCGTTGGGTAGATACCTCCTCTGGCGAATTGCAATATAGCGAGTTTAGATAGTGCTTTTGAGTAACTCCCAGATAATCATTGTATATAGTTCAACCGTATTTTCCTTCCTCGCGTGCTCTGATGTTGCGGGGCGATGAAGCGCGAGAAACTCGGATCAGCGCTCACAGTTTTCTGATACTAGATATCTCCTGCCCAGCTACATCTACCTACCAGGTGAGTTTTTGTGTTGACACCACACCTTCACAAACCAAGCAAGCCCTTCCGCTGTTACAACAAACACATATCATACAATTTCTACCGACTTTTCTTTTCTTTACCGACTTGACACATCCACCTTGCCTTGCCCTGTCCGATCCATTACCTGTCTACCAAAAATCTTCAGGTTGCGGAAAGCAAAACGAACATTCGAACAAAACAGCTGCATGTCTTGAACTCCTCCTCCCTGCCAAAGCTTTATTCCCTCCGACCTTTCAGCACTTCACTTTTTTCCCTTTCGTCACTTTCCAGTTCCTGACCTTGAAAAAGAGACTAAGAAAGGAAGAGAGAAAAAATAAGAAGAAAGAAACGACTGCCGTATATCTTCTCGAGTCCAGTCTAAATCTTCTCTCCCACCACCCAACAACTGACAAAAGAAAAAGGAGAGCAAGAAACCCAATTCCTCAACCCCATACAAATGAAAACTACCTAGGGTGGGTGATATCGTTTTACCGTGGCCGTTACCCTCCAGGACAAGGAACGACAAGAAAGAAAGTAAAAAAAAGGAAGGAAAAGCAATTGTTAACAAAAAGCAGAGAGAGAGACAGAGAGAGAGAAAAAATCCCGTAACCCAATGTTTTTGGACGAAACTCTCAAGAAATAGAGGACATAAATGACGCCACGTCCCTTTCACCTTCTCAATCTTCACAAAACCTTGACCCCAAACAAACCAAGTGTGTTAATGAAGAGGATGATGAGAAGAGAGGATTCTAGAACGACATCGTCCCTGTTCCTGTTCCTGTTCCTACCCTTACACTTCCCGTCCTCTTTTTTATCATGTTCATATTCCCACCATCCCCATTGTCCTCATCGTCTAAACTCAATGGACTAACGGGACTAATAGGGCTGATGGGACTAATCGGGCTTCCAAGAACAAAAGAATCCAGGAGATCTGCGGTTCCCCCCATTGCCGACGCGGCAGACACTGCGGATACCTCGGAAGTAGCTGAAGCAGGGGCGGATACGTAGGTTTCGGTGGCTGTTGTCGAATTCGTAGTCGAGGAAGGAAAAGTGTTTAGTTGTAGTTTTGCTTGCTGTTGCTGTTGCTGTTGCTGTTGCTGTTGCTGTTGCTGTTGCTGTTGCTGTTGATGAACAAGGCTAATAGGACTGAGACTAACAGCCTCTGTACCAATAACCAAGACCGACACCGGAGAAGGCGACTTGGGCGTCGTTGTCCCACTTCCTCCACTTCCGCTTCCATTGCCACTTCCGCTTCCGTTCCTGTGCTGATTGATAGAAGCCCTACTCCTCTGCGCCCTCACACTCTGCTGCTGCGAGGACTCCCCTCCTACCCCTCCTCCTCCTCCTCCTCCTCCTCCTCCTCCTCCTCCTCCTCCTCCTCCTCCTCCTCCTCCTCCTCCTCCTCCTCCTCCGGCTGCCACCAAACTTCCCGATCCCAGTGGTGACGTCGGAGTAACCGGACTGGCGCTAGCCGCGCTATTGATTCCCATTCCGATCCTCGTGGGCAAACTCAAACAGGGACTAGGAGGCCTCAGTCCCGTTCCCATCTCTCCTCCGCCGAGTCCCAGATCGAAGCCGAGTGATCCATGTCCGTGTCCTCCTGATGATCCATGGGAGACGGTAGGTGAGGAAGCGGAGCTGGGGACTGAGAACTTGCGGGGTGGCTGTGGTTGCGGTTGTCCTTGTCCGTGAGAGGAGTGGAGCGCGCTGAGGGAGAGGCAGGATTTGGACGCGAGTAGTTGTTTTTTGTTGGCGGAGGTTGAAGGGGGAGAGGTGGTTGAGTCCAAGATGGGGAGGTTGGCTAAGCTGGAGGAACGAAGTTGGTTGTGGCTCTTGATGGTTTTGTTGTTGTTGTTCTTGTTGTGCTTGTTCTTGTTACGGTCGACACCGCGGCGAGATCGGGCAGAGGAGGGCGAGTGTTGGCGTAGGGGGTTGAGATGGGCGGCGGCGGCTTTGTCGCGAAGACCTTCTAGTCTGATTGGAGTGGCAGGGTTAGTATTGCGCAGAGAGAAGGGATAGTACCTCTGGAAGGGGGAAAAGACGTACTGTTCCTCTGTGATACCGGGGATAACAGTGGTTTCTTTTTTGAAGTTGTAAGGAGCCGACTGGGGTGTTTGATTGTTAGTGGATTGCTTGTCGTTGCTATGCTCAGGGCTAACACTTACAATATCTTGACCCCGAACTTGCTTCCTCCGCTTGATTCCCAAAAGCTCCTGAAGCGAGGCGCGAAACCTCTTGAAGTTGGAGCAGACCTGCATGTTTGCGATATACTGCCGCCCGCTTAATTTTCAGGAGAGAGAGAAGAATGAAAGAATGACCGTGTTGTGACGGTTGGTATTAGTGTATTAAGTGGGTTGGTAGGACAATGTAAAAAACAACGAATGAGTATTAGATAAAAGACCGAAACCGAATCTGTATCGATGGCCGCTTCCGAGGTTGCGCATGCGCATGTGTGCGTCTAAGTGAGTGAAAGTAACGTGTCTTATCGGCAGGAAGAGATGCAAAAATGATGGGCGTCTGGCGTTACCGAGGTCGACGTTGTACCTGATGATGATGGACAACAAAGGACTGTGTGAAAAATGAGGAGATAACAGGAGATCCAAAGACAAGAGAGTCAAGCTAATGCCCGAAGTGAATGGCGAAATAATGACGCACAACAGTGCAGAACGAACGTATATGATACCGTGGAAAGAGCGGAAGAGGAGAGGATGAACGAAAACAAGAGTGAATGATCAGAAAGACAAAGGAGTGGCAAGCCCGTCCAAGTGGCCCATTGACTTCTCTGCTGGCCTTCGCTGGTGACAACCCAGTGCGGCTCGGCAGTTTAGCCCTTCTGAAGTATGAATCCGGGCTCAAAGAGAGGATTGCCTGAAGAGGACCACACTTCCCGGGAACCCAAGAGAGAGGTCAAAGAAGATATACTACCGCCGCATCGGATCGTCGAACCCAACTCGGTTAGGCTTCAGGAACGTGTTCCCTTGGCCAGGGCAGACAAGAATTGACATTGATACCCTCAAAGGGCCGCGGGTGAAGTGAAGGATCGTGAATGGACGAATAGACGAGAAGAAGATGGAAGGAAAGAGGAATGAGGAAAATCATGACCACGGCGACGCCCCTCGCTTAGGTTTTGGATGAGAGCCTTGGAATGCGGAACAATTGACGTGGGATCTCTTTGAGACATCCCTGAAGCAGAAAAGGCTGGTGTCTTGGATTCGCTCAATAACAGGTAACAGGGAAAGACTATCTATTGCTGATGATATGCAGCGCGCACGCGCCCGAGTACCTCCCTTATTGACGATTTGTGCCTCCTTGCGTCGAAAGCCGGGCGGCAGGGCGTCCCGAAACTCTATTTGGGATAGTCCTTCAGGTGGTAGCTCTTCAACTTGACGAACTGGTCGAAGCCATACTTGCTCAACGTTTGACCCTTGCCCGAGTTCTTCCAACCAGTCCAGGCCAGATCCTAAGAGATGCGCGTCAGTGAAACGAGGTGGTGGATTGTTGGCGCAGGACACAAAAGTACTTACAGGGCTGGGGAAATCGCAACGGTTCACGAAAACTGTCCCTGCCTCTACTTCCTCGGCGAGTTCGTATCCCTTGGCCGTGTCCTTGGTCCAAATACTGGCAGTGAGGCCGAATTCGCTGTCGTTCATCAACTGAATTGCCTCGGCATCGCTCTTGACCTTCATGACTGGAATGACGGGACCAAAAGTCTCGTCCTTCATAACGGTCATGGTGTGATCCACACCGGTCAGCAATGTCGGTGCGACAAAGTTACCTTTGTCTGGCAGAATGCTGAATGTCTCATTCTCGGGTGTCGCATTCTTGGCGCCCTTGTCGAGCGCGTCCTTGATGTGTGCCTGGATGGTCTCCTTGGAGCGCGCCGAGATGACTGGGCCAAGATGCGTCCCTTTATCCAAGGGATCTCCAAGCTTGTATCCCTTAAGAACGTTCTGGACAGCCGCAATAAAATCGTCGTGGATCTTCTCGTCAACGTACACTCGCTCAATCGAGCAGCAGCTTTGACCCGAGTTGAAGACTGCGCCGTCGACAATCTCTTCGGCAGCCCAGGCGATATCGACATCACCGCGAACATATGCAGGGTCCTTGCCACCCAGCTCGAGGCCGACGTTGACGATGCGATCGGACGCGGCCTTCTGGACGGCCAAGCCACCAGCAACCGAGCCGGTAAAGCAAATGTTGGCAATCTTGGGGTTTCGCACAATTGTTTCAATCACTGTCGGCGAACCCGAGTGGAAGTACTGGATGACTCCGTCGGGCAACCCAGCCTCGGCAAACACCTTGGCCACCTGCTCGACAATTGTGGGTGTCTGAGGCGAAGGCTTGAGAATGACCGAGTTTCCAGACAATAAAGCTGGAATCAAGGCGTTGACGAGAATAAGATAGGGGTACTGCTCAAAGTTAGAGGTGATGGATGGAGTGTCAAAACAACATGATGGACACCACTTACGTTCCAAGCAAAGATGATGAGAACAGGACCAACAGGCACCTTTCGGATGAACCTCTTGAATCCCTTCTCCTCCTCGCCATCGGTGTCCTTCAGAGCATCGTTGCTGATCTTGAGCAGATACTCTGAGCGCTTGATGGCAGTGGCAACCTCCTTGGCAGTATAAGCGATGGGGCGGCCCATCTGGACGGTGAGTTCCTCTGCAAGTTCATCCTGCTTCTCAGCTAGCAACTTCAAGGCCTTCTTGACGATGATCTGTCTGTCCTCCAACTTGGTAGTGCGCCATCCTTGGAAGGCCTTGGAGGCAGTCTCGGGCAGTTGGACGAGTTCCTCCTCTGAAATGCCATTGCGAGTGATGATGGGTTCGCCCGTGGTGGGAGAGATGGTGGTGATCACCTCGACCGACATTGTTACAAGTAAGCTTATCGGCTAGGTAGTAAGTGATAAGGGTGGTGAAGTGGGATGCAGTGTTGGTTGCCACAAGGAGGAAGAGAAGGTCAAAGGGAAAGAAAAGACACAGTTCAGTTACTCTAGTACTTCGTATAATTATACGGTCTCGTTATACCTTCCACAAGAAGAAAAGAGCAAACCGACCCGATTCCCATGACCCAATGACACCATGTCGCCCCTCCCGTCGCCGTCTCACTACAGTAACAAACAGGAACACGACATCACACTGCCGCATGCAAAGTGGCTCCCGCTCCGTTTCTCGGCGGCAGGCCGGGGGAGCTTTGATAAGATAAAGAGTTGTTGGCAGCGGGGTCTGTACATAGTGCATGGACTCCACCTCGGAAGGAACCTAAGGCGGGGATCGGCCAACTTACCATCCGTACCTAGGTACTTATCTCTTATCGGCCATGTGTGCACGGTCCCTTCCTGCTTGCGGCCCCCAGTGGAGCCAGAAATTTTGAGAAACAGCAGCAGCCATGTCCGTCCAGCGCTTCCACGCCAAAAGAAGACTTGCGAATCGCGTCGTGATCCTTCTCCAACGCAAACAAAACACAGCCGTAAATCTCCCCATAACTATCCATTTCGATCTAAGAAACTTTCAGCATACGACGAAAAGTTCACGAATCAGAAACACAAGTCAATCATCCATCAACAATGCCGGAGGACGATATTAGAAACAAGTTCCTCGATGCTGGCGATAGCGACGACGATGCGGGCCACGGTTCCGACTCGGAGGATGATTTCCAAAAGGGTGGCCGTAACGCTAAGCGCAGAAGAGTGAGCGATGACGAGGACAGCGAAGCCGACGACTTCACCGACGCAGAGGAGGAACACGACCAAGAGGATGCTGAAAGCAAGGATGCACCTGCAAAGGACGACCAGGAAACAACAGATGGAAAGGGAAAGAAGGATGGAAAGAAGGAGAAGGAGAAGGAGAAGAAGTCGGTACTAGCGAGTGACCTTCCGGGCATGACGAAGCCTCTCACAAAGAAGAATCTCATCGTCACGGAGGAGGCCATCAAGAAGTCGGGAGTGGTGTACATCTCCAGGGTACCACCTTTCATGACTCCTGCCAAGTTGCGCTCCCTGTTGGAGCCGTACGGAAAGTTGAATCGCATATTCCTGGCCCCCGAGGACCCAGTTGCGCGGCGCAAGCGCATTCGCAGCGGAGGCAACAAAAAGAAGATGTTTACAGAAGGCTGGATTGAGTTTGTCAAGAAGAAGGGTAAGTGTCATCATTCCGCGAGATTCGCTGAGACCCAAGTACAAAGACGCTAACAAGAAAACCCGTTTGTTTGCAGACGCCAAAAAGGCATGCGAACTCCTTAATGCCCGTCCAATCGGAGGCAAGAAGGGATCCTACTACCGCGACGATATCTGGAACCTGCTCTACCTCAAGGGTTTCAAGTGGCACAACCTGACCGAACAAATCGCTGCTGAGAACGCCGAGCGATCCAGCAGGATGCGCGCTGAAATCTCAAAGACAACCAAAGAGAACAAGGAGTTCGTCCGCAACGTGGAAAGGGCCAAGGTGCTGCAGGGCATTCAGGCAAAGAAGGCGTCCAAGGGCAGCAAGGAGGGCGGTGAGGGTGCCGCCCAAGTCACAGAATCTACTACTCCCTCGGCGGCGACGACGACGACGACGACGACGACAACAACAAACGACGATAAGAGGAGAACATTCAAGCAAATACCCCTGGCCAAGAAGAGGAAGCTCGATGAGACACAGCCCGAGCAAGTACAAAGAGTGCTTAGCAAGATCTTTTAACCTTTTCGTTTGGCCCCCGAACAATAGGTTTGAGACACGGTGCGTTCATGTAGCTGTGGGATTTTCCTCGTCAAAGCGACTCCGAGACATTAGAGATGGGTGGTGGTGATTTTCTTTTCCTTAGGCAATTGTATATATTTCTCTGCCTTCAGTCATCTTGATACCCAACCTGATTTCCTTTTGCTATGAGAGCATCTCCATTTCCGTTACTTTGTCATATCCCTACTCATCGAACCGGCACAGAAACCGGCCGGCGTTTGGTCTAATTGGCCCACCATGAGCACATCCCGAATCCCAGCCACGAGGAAGAGTGCCCCTGACGATACGGCCAACACTCGATACAACTTCATCAATTGTCATGTCGCAAATGCTTTCAGAAGGGGATCATATTTCACGACTCACCCGATTTACTCCCTGAGCATACTTCAAGGACACATCGAGCGTATGCTTGACGCAGATGAAGAAGGTTGCGAACATTGCACAAAACGTCGCCGGGACACCATATTCCAGTATACGTCCTGGTCAAACTATATTGTTAAGCAAATCCGCAAAGACCCCCCTTGTTGTTATCTAAGTGAAGATCAGATGCACGAGTTCTTCCATGCATGTATTCAGACGGTCGAGAATGGGTGTACTTTGTGGGAACATATACACCTTTTGAAACCTAGTTGCTGTGCTGGGCGTGGCTCGTCCATGGACGAAAGCCTGGAAATGACCATGTCTTCACCCAGGTGGTTTTCAAGTAGCACATCCTCAGCATCAAAAGAGACCATCAATTCGGCAACTCAAACATTCCTACTTTGGTCAAGAAACATTTCTCCCGAGTGGGAAGCGACTCCTCGTTCTGTTTCCCCTTCTCCTCCGCCCCCAACAAAGTCGGAGCTTGTGCTTTTCCAGCCAAGCACAGTTTGCATCCTGCCGGTAAACAGTGACTGGTTTTCCAGACTCCGCAAAATTTTCAGCTTCTACTGGCAAAAGTTTATCTACGGACCCTTCGCCTTCCTTTACCGGTGGTTCTGGGACACACAAGCCAATCTCATGGGCTCTAACTTCGGATCACGTCTTGGGCTAAGAGCACCAACCTTATACCCCTTTGCCCCGAGCGACAAACAGTCAAACCCGCAGAAACTATTAGAATGGCCAATCTCGTCAACACCACCAGCAACCGCATCTGCACAGAGTGTTGCCAACATCGACGATAACAGCAAGGCCATAAATGAAGATCCGACACCAGCAGACCGAATGGTCAAGACAAGGGAGGAGGCCAAAGATATGTGGTGGAAGGTGATGGCCAAAATCCTGTTGGCCGAACACCGTGAGCGGAGGGAGAAAGAAGCGGTGGCTTCAACTTGGGAGAGGGCGAGCGCAGCAAGTGTTACGGAGAGTACCTCTAGGCCGTCTTCTGCTATTTCGTTTGTGAGTAGCGAGGGAAGTGATTGCTCTTTGCGTCCTGAGGACTGCTTCTCGACCATTGGCTCAAGGTGTGGTCACTCACAAGATGGGGATCAAGAGTCCCCTCAACCTGCTACCAGCCATTTCTCAAACCCTAAATTTGACGAGTGGTATGCCGAGTGGTTCTCTCATTGGGTGTTGGAAACTTCTCGCAAGCTCAGGTCCCCAGAATCAGAGGATAGATTCTCTTGTTATTCATTTTCTTCGTCAGCAGCGCCGGTAAATGACAGCGATCATCATGAGGACAGCAATGCCTCCCATGACGACGACGAGATCACGGACATCCGAACCAGACCCTCCACACCGACACCGCTTTCCTCGCCTACTATTAGCCCCCTCCGCGGTCGAGATCGATACCGCTGTCTTTCTCTGTCCCGGTCATCCTCCAACTCTTCACCCAGCCCAACTCGGAACACCAGCATCCCTTCTTCTCCGGTTGCTGGGTCGTTGCACTGTCCACGTCGCTACCGCTCACCTAGTCCAATCCTTCGTCGCGGAATCCCCTCTCCCTTGGATATCACCAACTTCCCCCTTCCTCCTCCTTCAACCATATCCCCAGTGTTTCCTACCTCTTCATCTTCTTCATCTTCCTCCCGCTCTTCCTCTCCAACCCAATCCCCTCAGCACGAAGACCAATGCCACCCCGAACCTCCCCAGTCCCCCCAAGCCACTTCCCCACCGATACCCCGTCCCCGTCCACGTCCCCTCCTAAACGCCAAAACAGAAGACTACCTCTCCAATGCACACCTCCTCCGCTTCCCTGCCACCGTGTCCGCTCGACTGATGATGACTGCCGAGACCCTGGGGGTGGCGGGCGAAGGCAAGAGGAAGCTGGTTAGTGAGTTGCAGAGAACTCCTACGCCGGTTATGGTTGAGACGAAGTGGAAAAGGAGGGCTAGTGAGGAGGTTAAGGCGTTTGATTGGGGGTTTGGGATGGGTGGTGAGAAGGAGGAGGACGAGGAGGAGGAGGAGGGGGAGGAGGAGGAGGGGTATGAGACGTATTGAGTTGTCTGGGGTTGGTGGTTTTCATTGGGCTTGGAGGGATTGGGATGGGGTAATTGGGGTGTGAAGTGTAAGTGTGAAGTTTGTTAGGTTGTTTGGGTGTCTGCTGTTTTCTTTTTCTAGGGGTCATGGTTTTCAATGGTGATAATTGAGTGGTTTTGTAGAGGTAGAGTGAAGTTTTGTTTGGGGCATAATTTGCTAGATGTTTTCCGCTCGAACTTGATTGGATTTTCTGAGCATGTTGAACTTGCTACGAAAACCTAACGATATGGGTGACTGGGCCGCTTTCGGATTGTGATGTGCTTTTGGTTTGCAATTTTACTCCAGTGAAGTTTAAAACTTGTGAACATTCACATGGTCACGTTCAAGAGACGATGATTCCTACTCGGTTGTTATAATACGCATGAATAAATTTGAGGGGTATCTACGAAGCTCTAACGACTCTTTTGATGGAAAGCAATTGCGTCTAGATGCTAGCTACGTGATCCTCCTATGTCCCTGATTACCATTCCATCTATACCTCAGGCCATGCCATAAGGTCCCTGCCGAAATATGTTTCAATTTTTTGGTGGTAGCCTCCCAACCTGAAACTCCATTCGCCTAAACCAGTTGTCCGGTGACTTGCCATGCTGCCTGCCACCACGAAATAGAAGCCAAAGTTGTAAGTTTGAGAACTCATGCGAGAAAATGAACGTGCTGAGTATGTGAAATGATGTAAAGGGTTGGTGAGCATGTCGAACTTGCTCAGTTCTCGACGACCTCGGTCTGGACAGCCTGAAGAACTTCGCCCTCGTCAATCTTGGCGGTTTCCTTCATTGAGGGCTCCTGATCAACGGCCTCATCGGGAATGTGAATGCCGTACTTCTCGTACGGAAAGTCGATTAAACTAGGAAGGTACTCTGCCCAACCATCGTCAACTTCACCAGGCTTTTCGCTGTCCGCCTCACCGGACTTCTCGGTGTTGGCTTCGGTAGTGCCGTTAGTGAGGCTGGCTTGAGCCTTCTTGTTCTCGATTTCGGCCTGATTGAGAAGCCCAGCGAGAACCAGCTTCACGTCGCCATTCTTATCTACCTCTTGCTTGAGCATAGGGTGCGGGCACCAAACAACGCGCATGCCGGCACGACGACCGGCCTCGACGCCGGGGATGCTGTCTTCGAAGACAAGGCATTCCTCGGGAGTGATGGGCTTCTCGCCCTCAGGAAGTGAATCGTTGATGGTCTTGAGGGCGATTAGGTAAATATCGGGAAGGGGCTTGCCGCGGCCCTGCGGGATGCGCTTGTCGTCACCAAGAACGCGACGGTGACTCTCAAAGACCGAGAACAGTTCGGTCAGATGGTTGGTCTTCATTCGAAAGTTCGCTTCATGAGAAGAGGTAGCAAGAGCGATATGAACGCGATGAGGTTTTTGTGCGAGTGCGCCGTTGGTGGTAGTAGCATCCCCCTTTAGATCCCAGTAGCGGGTACTGCCAAGCTTCTGTAGAAGCTCCTCGACACCGGGAAGAGCCGAGGTGAACTGAAACTTTTGAGCTTGAAGAGCGTAATACTCCTCTTTGTACTGCTCACGAGTAATGGGCAAATCGGCCCAGTTATGGAATATGTCAAGGGCCGCGGGACCGGGGCGACCTTGAAGCTGAGCCTTGATGCTCCAAGGCAAGGGGAACTTCTCCTTCTTGTGCTTTCGAAGAAGCTCGTTGACACAGAGGGTATAGATGTCCTCGGTGTCGAGGAGAAGGCCGTCCATGTCGAACAGGCAGGCCCGGACGGGAGGGAAACTGTATGAAGACGTTAACATCAATTGATCGATTGTGGAGTGAGATGGCGCAACTTACTCGGTGCGGGGTGACATTGTGGCGGTTGAGACAACGTCTAAAGTACTAAATGATATCGGTAGGGGTGTCGGGTGGAAGGCGGATTTGTTGTCGAGACTTGCTTTCGAAAAGGAAGTCTTGATCCGGGTTGAGTTTGGAGGAAGTGGAAAGTGCAGAGATAGTGGTGGGAAGGGGAGTCTTTTATATCTAGGACAAGAAATTATTTGGGACTCGCGCCAAGGGTCGTCGAGGGCAGTGAAAGAAGGTGCAGGCTATCGGGTAAACAGAGAAAGGTTGGTGAATGTCGATGGGGCCAACAGATTGAAGAATGGCCTCGTACAAAGAACTAAGTGAAGGAAAATTATGAACCTTGGACAACGGCGCGCGTTGTTGGGAAGGGTCGGTGAAGTGTAAATAGATGATGTGAAGGGTCGTTGGATGGGATGAGTCGTCGGTTTTGTTGTTTGGGCAATCGGTTGGCCCGTCCCGTCCCCCCGGCATCGAAAAAGTTGGAGACAGCTCCAGGTCCCGCAATCGGGCCCCTCCCCGCCCTACACACAACGGGAGCGTGTGCGGGGGACCCCGGTGCCCCTCTGCTACCCCTGATTCTAGGAAACCTTGATAGGCGGCTGGCTGGCCGATGTTGTCCAGGTCTACAAGGTTGTAAACAGGAAGAAATGTGATGATCCGATCTTCAAAACATGATGAACACCAGTGAGTTGCATTTGTGTAACTTTCAGCTTGAGAAGGAAGGTTTGCGTTGGTCCAAAAAGAATTGCAGCTGCCAGCCTCGCTCCTTCCCATCATATGAGACATCGAAATGCTCCAGCTTCTAGGTACCTACCATGGATACTAATGCCACACCACGCAATAACTTGAGCTCGCTGTAACATGGAAACACAGTTGCTCGCACTTGCTATTTTGATCTGGACTAACAACTCTCTAGTAGACTGAAGACTGAAATCGATTTTTTTCGAGGAGTCGACGCGGGATCTTTTGGACCTTTTCTTCCCCTGTCATCTCGAAAAGACCCCGCTGAAAAGTCAATAGACGTGTGATGGAGCAGAGATAACAGGTGACACAACATGTGTAAGATTCGGATTTATACACGGCCTTGGCTTTGAGCCGCATTGTACATGCTACGCAGTGATGGTGGTCCTACCGCGTACTTGGAATTCCTGGTAACGAATATTTTCTTATTCTTCCATTTCACCGCATTTTTACCCGGTTATGGACGGTTTACTACTGACGTCGTATCCGAACGGAATTGCGACTGAGTGAATCCAGTGCAGTCAGTGGCCAGCTGTTGCTCAGCAGTGACTTCATCGGATTAGGTACCAGATAACTTCACTTCGAATTCCGATACCAACAGACGTAAAGATCCACTTTTGCCAAGACCTGCGATGCCTAGGTAGCTGCCGTGCCCAAGCTCAGGTCCTGCGTAAATGCCCGCTGCCCGCCCCTGACAGCTTCCGTCCGCGCGCGGCTTCTTATCTTGCATGTCCCAGGCATCATCTCATCCTCGCAAACCGCCTTCCTTCTACGGACCTCCTTCCAGCTTTCACTCCGAGCTACTGAAAGATATTACCATTCCGATACCGGCAACCTTTAGCACTTCAATAACAAACCTGCTTTGAAAAATGAGTTCCGAAACATCTCATGACAAGCTTGAGGAGAAGAAGGTCAAGGATCCTCAAGCAGAGGAAGAAAATGATGAATCCAAGCAGGCCGATATCAAATTCTCACCTGAAGAAGAGGCTGCAAGTACCCACGACCAAAAGCAACAACAACAAAGACCCTCTTGATGCCCAAACCTCTGTGACTGACCGCCTCAGCAGGAATTGGTAGCTGAGTCCAACACACACAAAGCAGAGGCAAACGCCCTCTTCACCTCGGGCAAATACGATGCCGCCCTCAACAAATATGACGAAGCCATTGCTGTTTGTCCAAACTACCTGGACTACCCCTTGGCCGTCTTGCGCTCCAACGTGGCCGCCTGTCACCTCATGCTGGAAGCTTGGAAGGATGCCGTCACGCACGCCACCAAAGCTCTGGACTTGCTTGATAAGCTAGAGCGGGAGGACAAGCTGGCAGCCGAGAAGGAAGAAAAGGAGAAAGAAGATGTCGAAGAGGAGATTGTCAGCGCCGGTGCTGCAAAGGCCGGACCCGCCGTTCCTGTCACGGAAACTGAGGCGCAGATTGCCCGCCAAAAGCGACTAGAGGATATTGCCAGGATACGGGCCAAAGCTCTGCTTCGCCGGGCCCGGGCAAGGAGCGAGCTGGGTGGATGGTCCACCCTCGAGGGAGCTCTTGAGGATTACAAGAAGCTGTCTGCCATGACCAACCTTACGGCTACCGACCGAAAGCTCGTCCAGGCGCAACTCAGAGCACTGCCACCCCGGGCCAAGGCTGCTCAGGAGAAGGAGACTGCTGAGATGTGGGGCAAGTTGAAGGACCTTGGGAATGGGTTGCTTAAGCCGTTTGGTCTTAGCACTGACCATTTCAAGATGGTGAAGGATGAGAAGACCGGCGGTTACAGCATGAATTTCCAGGAAGGTGGTGGCGAAGGCAAAAAGTAATGTTGTGAATGTTGATGAGGGTCAGGGCTCTCGCGATGCCTACTAGCGTCGTGGTTAAGGATGAATGTAATCCAGGCACCCAACTATATGCACCCCTGACTGGAAACCTAATTCTCCAGAGTCACCTGAAAAGAACATCGACCAGTAGTCAACACGAGTCGACAAGTTGAATGTCAACAGATCGACAAGGGAGGAGATCGTCAGGAGCCACAGCTGCATAACAGCTGGCCGGAGCTAAAGCTCCATAAGTTTGAGGCTGATTAATTGGTGTGGCGAAGCCGGCAGTGGAACGCCACAATTGTACGTACTGCACTGGCTTGTGCTGATACGGTAGCCGATAGCCGATAACGAATTGCTTATCAATGCAGCGCGGGGCGATTTGGTGCTGGGCCCATCAAGAAATTTATTGACGACCGTCCCGTCAGCGCCTCCAACGTTCCCCTCAGCGACTCGTTCTCGTCCTGGTCCATTCAAATTTCCAGTCGTCGACTTCTTTCTCATCCCCCAGCAACTTCACTTGTGATTGCGACGGAACTCTCAGGTTTTCCTTTTCACGACATAGCGACTTTTGTTTGTTTTTACAATTGATACCCCGATTCATATCTTGTCGCAAGCCACAACTTCATTAATCATGGATCTCGACGCTCCTATGGCCATGGCCCCGTTGATGGGCTCTGCCAGGACAGGTGCTACGTGAGTCTTGATTTGAAAATCGAATGCTATCGAGGACAGGATTGCTGACCCAATTCATAGCATTCTCTGCTGCAACTGCGGTGCTCCCATCGATGGCACATCCTCCGCCGGCGCTCTTTGCTACGACTGCATCAAGTCCACCGTCGATATCTCCCAAGGCATCCAGCGCGAGGCCACCCTCCACTTCTGCAAAGATTGCGACAGATGGCTCCTACCCCCCGCCAGCTGGGTCACAGCCGCCCCCGAATCGAGAGAGTTGTTGTCACTATGCTTGAAGAAACTGAGGAATTTGGGCAAGGTCCGCATCACAGACGCCAGGTTTATTTGGACAGAACCCCATTCGCGAAGAGTCAAGGTTCAGGTCACGGTTCAGGATCAGGTGGCGGATGGTGTGTTGATGCAGCAAAGCTTCGAGGTCACATACGTCGTCGCCAGCCAGCAGTGCAAGGACTGCGCCAAGTCATACACAGCCAACGTCTGGCGCGCCGCCGTACAGGTCCGCCAAAAGGTCACCCACAAGAGGACGTTCCTTTTCCTCGAACAGCTCATTCTCAAGCACCAGGCCCATCGCGACACAATCAACATCAAGGAAGAGAGGGACGGTATCGATTTCTACTTTGCCCAGAAGAACCAGGCTGAGGGATTCATCAGCTTCTTGAAGTCCGTCGTACCAGTTCTCACCAAGGAGTCGAGGCATCTTATTTCCGCGGATACGCACACCGGCAACAAGTCGTACAAGTACAACTACTCCGTCGAAATCGTGCCTGTTTGCAGAGACGATTTGGTTGCCCTTCCTCTCAAACTCGCCAAGTCCATCGGCAACATTTCTCCCCTTGTCCTTTGCCACAGGATAGGAACATCTGTCAACCTCCTCGACCCCAACACTCTCCAGACCGCCGAAGTCAGCGCCGATATTTACTGGCGTGCTCCCTTCCACCCGCTTGCCGGCACCCCCGATCTTGTCGAGTTTATCGTCATGGATATCGAGTCTACAGGCGTACGAAAAGGGAAGTGGCTCCTCTCCGAGGTTCAGGTCGCTCGTGCCTCCGATCTCGGCGTCAACGACAACGTTTACTTCACTCGCACCCATCTCGGCCAGCACCTCCACGCCGGTGACTCGGTGCTGGGTTACATGCTTGAGGGCACCAACTTCAACTCGGATGCGCTCGAGGCGATTGAGAGCTCCAAGGCGTACGGTTCCATGATCCCTGACGTCGTTCTCGTCAAGAAGCACTACCCGAACCGCCGCCGCAACAGAAAGAGAAACTGGAAGCTCAAGCGCATGGCCAAGGACGAGGGCGAGCTGCTGCCCAAGGCTTCGGATCAGGCCAAGATGGATGCCGAGTACGAGATGTTCTTGCGCGATGTCGAGGAGGACGAGGAACTTCGTGCTGCTCTTGCTCTGTACAAGAACTCGCTCAAGACCAAGAGGGAGGCGGATGCCATGAGCATTGCCGATACGGACATGATGACGGAGGCTGAGGAGGATGGCCCCAAGATCAGCATGGACGAGCTCCTCGATGACTTTGAGGAAATGGAGATTCAGGATAAGGAGTAAGATGTGATCTTGATTGGAGTCTGATATGTGAATGTGAATGGTTTTGGGTTTCGGGGTAAATCAAAAATTCTGGGAGTTAGCTGTTCTTCAGGGTTTGCGTTTTTCAGGCATTTCATGAATAGATTCGGGAATGGGCTTGCCGTGTTGGCGCCCTCTGCATCCAATACTTTGTTGTTTCTATCAGTCGTGAATGCATAGACGTGGTTGAAAAGGATGTCACGATCGTCAAAGTACTATATTAACGAAGATGTGCAACTTGCTTGTCATGTACGATGATCTTGGTCAGTCAAGACCTAGTGTTACTCATCTGCTCAAAATGTTTTTCAACCGCCTGTTTATTTTGTCGCCCTCGGTCATCATCAATTATGAAAAGAGGTTTATTGCGAGTCCTGACGAAGGTTCCAAGACAATCAACCCCAGAAAAAGGAAAACATATCACAAAATGCGTGGGATTTTGAAAGATGATCCAAAGGGGGCACGAAAAAAGAAGAAAGATGGAAAAAATGAAAGAAGAAAAAAAAGAGAACCAGAAGGTTGATCGTTATAGCTCGGATACCGGGAGTCGAACCCGGGGCTGTTGAGGAAACAGACACTTGTAAACAAGTGAGAGTCAACGATGTTACCGCTACACCATACCCGATGAAGGATGGCTTCCGATTGTTTGATGCTCTTGCTACCGGGAGATGTGTTTTTGAACTGGGAAATCAGAGGTTGTTAACTGATTGTGTGGTGGAGTTGAGGGTTGGAGGTGACAGACATGGGTCAGGGGTTCAGCTGTAGGTGGGCTAAAGGCGAAAGGGAAAAGGGGGTTTGTTTACTTCGTGATAGGTTGGGTTTCTTGGCTCGAGGGTCCCATTTCTCGGAGACTCTGACTGGACTTTGCTTTTTCTTTCTTCTCTTGGTTTCTTTCGATTCCATCGTTTTCATCCCCGGGCCGTCTTCAAGTCAGAGTTTGGCTTGGCGGGTGTTGTCAGGGAGGTGCGAAGCCCGCACGGAAACTTCTTCCCCTTTCCCTTTTGCTCCTTCCTTTCCTGCAAGTTACTTTCTACCAGGAAGAGGAGCGACTCTGGGCAAGTGCTTCCCAGGATTTTTGGCTCGCTGTGAAAATCGATAAGCAAGTCGCAAAGAGCCGGCAGAAGCGAGTGGTTCAAACTGGTTTCAACCTACCGTCGGTACATAGAGGTACCTACTGAACTTTTCTCGCCGCGCAGGACTCAACTCTGCAGCACTTCTGCTATCCTTTGTTTCAGAACAGGATTTGTCGATGCAACCAGCCTTCAAATGCCACGGGCGAGTTGTTCGGAATTACCATCCTGAACCCTCCAAACCACTTCTTTTCCGACAACTTCAATTCGGAACATCCCCGGAGATGTTTTATCATGAGAATCGTCAGATCCATGGGTCCTAGAAAGACCTTCGAGCCAAGTTACACGACGGCATGAAACGCGCAAAAAAGAAAACAACCATGTTGAGATGTTTGTTCAACTACAATGACCATTATCAGCATCGGCCCTCGCCCAAGGCTGCCAGGCAATAACAGGGATCGGATAGACAAGAACAAACAAGTCTTTTTTTTTTTTTTTCCAGCCAACCATAAAGATTGATGATTTGCTGTTCTTGAACGAACGAAGCAGCGATCGAAATGACAAAACCTCTTCAACAACTGCAAATATCTACGGAAACGAACAAATGCTATGAACAGCCAGTAACAGGCAACATGGCCCGGTTAACGTCCGTATGGCGCATTGTTCTATTTTCTCCTTTGCTCCCGTCCCGTGCGACTGTCTAGTCCTTATGCTTTGTTTTGAACAACCCCAAACATTAGACAGAGGTATACATTTCTTTGTTCCAAGATTGCTTGAGGGACACTTGAACCAGATGATGCCTCACAGCGAGAGAGCCGCGTCCTTCTTTGTCTTTATATGTCCACGGTCAGCGCATTTGCCCCCTCGTGATTGTTACTAGCCGGCCGGATAGACGGGATGCAAGAAGTGATCTTAATGTCCGGCGGTGATTCATCGGGGGAGTGGGCAAAACATATACTCTCCGGGGGACACCTGGACAGATTTTGAGTCGGTTACTGGATTCCTCGTCATTCACTCTTTTCTAACAATTATTCCAATAGCCAGTCGACAGATGTGGCTGAGAAGAAGCCTTACCGGACCCACACCAAACCATTTCACTCCTTTCAAGCACGAACAGCGCATCAGGAGAACAACATTCGGGGAACTTGAAGGTTGATGATTGATGAAGATTGTCATCAGACAACTTGGCAATGCGGTATTGACAGCGATGATAACGACATACCAATCGATGGACAGAGCCAGCAGCCGAGGAAGAAGCATGTCTCCGTCAGGACTTTTTGAAAGAAGATACAGTACTCATGAACGGCTCATAGAACGAGAAGAAGATCACGGTGAAGACTCGGGTTCCGGAGACGAGTCAGGTAACGGCAGTGACTCTGATGTGGGCGATGATGGGAGGGTTAGTGATGAAGATCCTTCCCCCGCTGAGGGCGAGGACGACAACGAGGAGCGAACGGTCACAGAAGAACGCACCATAACCAAAAAGCACACGGCCACGCAAACGGTGACCACAAGCCCGACGGCAAGTGATGCCCAGAAGCTCTATCACTCGCTTACCCCGGATTTCAAGTCACATCTGGAACCAGCAACCTGGTCACGATTCATTCGACCACATACTGCAGGTAAGGGATTTTCTTTCATTGCAATCGTAAACACCCCGGACCCACCCCTCGCAAACACACCGGAGTCAGCCTCGATTTCTTCCCAAGAGCACACGACCACGAGAACGGTGACCACGAGCGCGATGGTAGATTATGGGAAGCAAGCCCGTTTAGGTTACAGCAGATGTGTCTGAAGTATAACATTCTCCCAAACTCAAGGGCAAACGACTAGGGGAAAGGAGCAACGCCCGCCGGAAGCAGTGGAAACAGACTCACCTTATCACCCCGAGCGGTCATCAATAGTACAACTAACTAACCTGACATTGTGTGAAGTTCTAGACATTAGCGGTATCGCAGCGTCCACTTCGGGACCTATCCCTACAGAAGCTTCAACGTCATCCAGCTCAACGCCACCGGTGAGGACAACCACCAACCCTAAAAGGAAGTCCTTCCCGTCTACGACGTTGATTTCACCTGTGTATCCGACAACATGGGACAGCCAGGACTTGGCTGGCGAAGCAACGACGGGAGCCGATGCGACAGTGGTACATGGAGGCCCGTCGCCGGGGCACGGTGATGACAGCACTGGTCATACAAAGCGCCCTTCAAGCCCAAAAACAACACCAACGACTGTAGATGGGGTCACGAGACCAGGTGTGTTCAGAATATTATTTGTTGAACCAGATCCGTTCTCCATCGGAAGCCTTTGGGAAGTTGCTAACCCCAAACTAGAAAGCTTTTCAACTCGCTCTGAACTCCCAGCTACCTCGCCTACCTTGGGTACACACCCGGCGGACAGTGTGAAAGCCTCTGAAGGAAAGCAGAAGAGTTCGTCAGGCGATGTGCTGAAGAAGGGAGCCATCATTGGCGCTATAGGTTAGTGTCTTTATACACACTTCTCACCTAGACAAACTCACTGACCACGGTTCTCCGTCGACTGTTTAGCTGGCCTCGTGGTCTTCGGCGTCCTCCTCTTTTTCCTCTGGCGCAAACGCAAACACAACAAGAAGCGCCACAGCAATTTTGCTTCCAGTAATATCCTCACTTCAACCTCAAAGAGTGCCGAAAAGCTTCCAGAGAAGGACCCTTATCCGTTCGATGACAAGGGTGGTAGAGGAAGCATTGGAGGTGAAAGCATAGGAGGAACATCCCAAAGAACTTTTGAAGGTGTCGCCACAGCCATCCGCACTTCGATACGGCAATCCGTCAGCGATGTCAGCGTCGGCGCTACAGATCCCGGCCCCGTCAGCCCTGTCAGCCCCAGCGCCGATGCTGCCAGTCTCGGTGGTCTTTCGTCCCTTTCGCGCCGGTCGAGTCTCTCGTATGCCTCGGACGATTACTTCTGCGGAGAGAGTGCTACCAGCACCGCGAGCAGCATCTGCCAAGCCACTGCGCTGACATACACTATACCCGGGCGGGTAACGCCCGTCATACCTGCATACCCGGCTACGGCGAAAATTGTGAATCTCTCACAGAAGCCTCAGAAGCCGGAGTTGGTGATGGTGAGGAATACTAGGAATAGTAGCACTGTGGAGCTTCTGGGTTTGAGTCGGAATCCTAGCAAGAGTACAATTGGAAAACCTGGGAAGGGACAGTGGGATAAAGAGGCTTGTGGATGTGGTGGTAATAGGGCGTCGAAATCGCCGGAGGTATCAACACCACCGATGGCAGCAAGGACTTTGTATGAAGCTCTCGGGGGATCAGGACCAGGACCGACATCCCCTCCTTCATCGTGAAGGCCAGTTACATGGATGAGACAGCCGCCGCCATTGTCGACGGCGAGAAAATCGGCATTATTAACGTTTGTACCTTCGCCGGTTGTGGGAATACAGATGCCGGGTAGTAATAGAAGGAGTTCTTCAAGTTGATGGGACTTTTTGTTGAGTTGGAGGGTTGTTTTGGGGAGAAAGTGAGAAGAGGGAAAAGGCATGGGGAAATTAGCCATGTTTGCGGGTTGGTATATATTGTCTTTACACTAAATAGCCTATACTTTTCCCAATTCTGGGCTACTTCACACCCCTTTCTTGTACAGTTACCCCAACTGATCGTCCATGCAGCTGGCCAAGCCCTGACATGATTGTTTTTAGCACATGTCAACCCCGCAGTCGCATTTGACGCCGTTATGCCCGCCGTCCCCAAAACTTCGCTGCAGATATCATCACAGGGGAAAAAGAGGATCCAATTCCATTTGTTTCGGTAAATAGTTGGAAAAAAAGCCGCTCGCTGGCGAGAGGTTTTTGCCTCTGTTCTTGGTTCTCTCTTCCTTTACTTCCTTTATTCTTTTAGTTGCCAAGAGTCATTTAGCAACACAATGCGGATGCAATCCACCAACGCCCTGTTTCGGCGCGCAACCTTGTCCTCGTCCACGTCCACACTGTCCATTGTCCGACGATCCACCTTGACGGCCACACGCGGCTTCTCTTCAACCTCGACAACCCAAACCAGCGCAACCACGAACTCATCTGCGTCACTTCCACTTCACACTCCCACACGAACCCAATTCCCAACCACCGCTACCCCTCCCACAACGCGCACCATGGCCTCCGCCTGCAGCACCAGCCCCTCCTCCCCGGGCTATGAAAAGATCCCCAACACCTCGATCCGCATCCTCCGCACCGTCTCCTCCGTCCGCCGCTTCCGGAAGCCCCTAACCCTCGACTCGCGCTCCGTCGCCCTCGTCCCCACCATGGGCGCCCTCCACGCCGGCCATCTAAGTCTGATCCGGGCCGCCGCGCGGGACAACCACCACGTCATCGTCTCCATCTACGTCAACCCGGCGCAATTCGGCGTTCGCGAAGATTTGGGCAGTTACCCTGTCACCTGGGAAGCGGACTGCGAGGCGCTGGCCAAGTTGGATCGCGAGCTTGCCGACGATGGGGAGAATCTGGGACGCATCTCGGCGGTCTTTGCGCCGACGACGGGGGAGATGTACCCTGCCGGGTTTCCCGGGCAGGAGCCGGATTCGAAGGGGTCGTTTGTCACCATCACGCCTGTCGGGGAGGTGCTGGAGGGGGCCAGCAGACCGACGTTTTTCCGGGGCGTGGCGACGGTCTGTATGAAGCTGTTTAATGTGTGCCAACCCGATCGGGTATATTTCGGGCAAAAGGATGTGCAGCAGACTGTGGTCATCAAGAGGCTGGTGGAGGATTTCTTGATGCCGATTGAACAAGTGGTGATAGTGCCTACTGCGAGAGACCAAGAAGATGGGTTGGCGTTGAGCAGTAGGAATGTGTATTTGGGCGAGAGAAGACGGAAAGTGGCGAATGTGCTGTATAGGGCGCTGAAGGCGGCTGAGGAAGCTTATGCGGCTGGGGAAGGGAAGAGAGATAGAGAGGGGGTTTTGGGTGCCGCCCAGAAAGTGATGGAGGAGACGTTGGCGGAGCAGATGAAGTTGAGCCCGAGCGAGAGGGTCAAATTTGAGGTGGATTATTTGAGCTTGGCGGATCCGGACACAATGCTAGAGCTCGAAACGGTTGATACCAAGAAGGGAGGGATTTTGAGTGGTGCGGTGAGGTTTTTGCCGGTGGAGGAGCCAAAGGAGGGAGAGGATTTGGGACATAGTGGGGGGCCGCTGGTGAGGTTGATCGATAACATCATCTTGCCGCCTAAGTAAGGGTGACGGGGTAGAAGTGACGGGATATTTGTGTTGTTCGCTATACTATAGAGCTGTCGTTGTTAGAAAGCATTTTGCATGGATTGGCGTAAGCGATAGAGTTTCCGTTGGAACGCATGTTAGAGTCATTGGCGATCAGCGTTTCGTTTAAACTTGTATTTGCGTGTCATATCTATACAAGTTGGATAGTTCTTATGTAGCTTGTCTGCTGCACCGAGGCCATTAAGCTTCCGTACTTCATCCCTGGTGGTCTCCTTCTCCTCGGACTGCTCATGCTGGAGTGACGATAACCCATTGTCAGACCTCCGATGTTACCACCTCCTCCCTCCAAAGCAGAACCACAAGCCCAAAGCGACAGACCTCCCATCCCGTCCAGCCGGCCCTTCGACGTCAATGAACACCCCAGAGCCATTGGAACTGGGTGATCGTGGTTTTGGTTCCATTCATCCGTCCTTCTACCGCTTCTTGACTTGCTGGTCAAGAGACCTTGGCTTGACCCCAAGCCACAGTAGTCCTGGAACTCAGACAAGAAGGCCTCGCGGTCGCTAATCGCGCATCTTGCGCGTCTCGAATCGGCTCTTGATCCTGAGACACCCTCTCAAGATGCCGGTAGGAAGGTGCAGCTCCCATTAACCATTTCTTGGCTACAACAGCAGCAATTCTGTCCCCATATGAGCTCGTCCCCGTAAGAGTTCGTGGCGACAGTCGGAATCTTGAGCACATTCGCTCACTGGCCGCATCAGGGCTCCCATGGGAACCGCCTTCGCACCCGTTCCACGGTATTTCCCTAAAGCAGCCGAGACAAACGAAGAGGTCGAGAATTTTGGGTTGTAGTATCGTTTCGTGTGTCGTATCTTTATCCTCCTCTCCGCCTTATAGAATCTTGGAGAAGTGTGACCTGAACTTTTTGTTCGCGCGATCCGCCGACCGAAACTGGAACTGCTCGCCGTGTACTTCAAAGATCATCTTTGGTTGTTCGGCCTCTGTTTGTTGTTGCTGCTGCTTGTTCTCGTCACTTTGTCCCTCCTCCACCGTCGCCGTCCCCGTCGCCAGCGGCACCTCAATCCTAAATACGGTCCCCTCCTTCGGCACCAGTTTCCTCTGATTCCGCCTCGTCACCACCTCAAACGTAAACCTCGAATCCTTAATCACGATCCCCTTCAACCCCACCCGACTCACACACCCACTCCTCACCACCTCGACCTCAGCACCATGGAAATCCGCGCTCGTCAGCTTCGGCGCCGCACCCTCGCCACCCGTGTGTATCTCGTTTCCCAATATCTCGCGAATGTACCCCAGCCAAAGCTGGTGCAGCGGCTCGAACAAGGCGTATTTCTGCCCCGAGCGAGGGACGTCGTAGAGGCCGAGCTTGCGGCGCTCGTTGGCCGAAAGTGGTTTGGGTTTTAACGCCTTTTTGCGGGAGAGGCGCTTCTTTTCACGTTCGCGGCGGCGGGCGGCGCGGGCGTCGGAGGGTGGAGGGGAGGATGGGCAAAGAAAGAGCGGGCGTTGTTGGATCTTTTCGGTGAGGATGCGTTTGGTTTCTTCGGGGTCATGGGCGCGCGAGAGAAGAACGGCGGCGATGGGTTGGTTTTTGGAGGAGGTTTGGGATGTTGATTCCATTGTGTGAGTGATGGGAGGGAAGATATTCCTCCGGTTACAGAGTCTTGGGTTCGGAGCGGATTGGGATCGATTTCGAGGTGTAGAATCGATTGTCGCAAACGTCAATCAAGATGCTGATGGAAATTTCCCAATTCCTGCGATGCCCGGACAAGTTCGAGACTTGTGATAAGGGAAGAAGAAGGCGCCAAGATAAAAAGCTTCAGAAATCGGGCACCGCACCTTTCCCTGTCTGGCTTTAGCCTCCTGCCCCGGCTTGTGTTACCCCGCTGTAAGCACCTTAACGGCTGTGTGATCCCTGCTGGTGACGCTTTCCAGCGGCGGCAGGCAAGATCACACCGGCTTCGTTACAGTGGACGCTCTAACAATTCCCTTGGATGGGCGGTTTAGCATTCCCGATGTGGTACCTAGGTATGCATACTAGAACTAGTGTATTATTCCCGTCTACATGAACCGAGGAAATCATCTCTCGCTTAGTTGACTTCTCTTTTGCTCGTGATGATGGTTGCAGTGGCAAGTTGACGACTCATTCGACTCTGATGTTCCGACACTGATACCCGTGGATTATTCCTTGGATAAGGTCATTTCCAATTACTGCCTAATACCGAGGAGTCTATACCACTTTGCTCTCTTTCACCAAGTCATATGTACCTACCTCCCGAGTCCTGCCGACGACAACCACTTGCATCGAGACGTGCGCCTCACCCCACGCGCACCCAGCAACGCAAGACAGGACTGGTGCCCTTGGAGTAATAGCATTGGCAACTTGGATCGGACAAAGCCAAGTGGAAAGAAGACTGGGAAATAGGATCAAAAAGCAGTCAACAATACATAATGGCCGACGAGCAAGATGGACGCGACGATAGCCCGGCTCAGGTCGAGGACTCGGCGCCCGATCTGCGCATTTTGGGTGACCGTATCACTTTACAGCCCAGCGGCTTTGTGGCGCCCTCCAAGGGTAGCCTAGGTGATGAGAAGGAGGAGGCTCTGATGAAGAACATGGCGCGCTTTCGCTCCGAGCCGCTACAGTACGTTCTCTGTCAAGAGGGTGTGCTTTGGTCAAGGAAATCCTACCACTAACACAGCTGTCCAGATTCCTCCGCGAAGTCTCCCTCTACGTCTCGGGCACAGGCTGGCGCGCCTACGACGATGTCATCGGCCAGCCCGTCTTCTACCCAGGCTATACCGAACACATCAAGTCTCAGGTTATGTCGGCGACCCTATTGCAGGCCAAAATCGCACAACTGGCAGAAATGCGCCTGGCAGTCGAGGAAAAGCAGGGGCTACTCAACAAAAATGACAGAAACTTCGAAACCAAGCGCAACCAGCGTCGCTCTGTACTCGTCCAGAGTCTCCAAGAGGTTGCAGAGCAGCTCACGGACAACATGGTGTGCAAGATGGAGAGCAAGACCTTCATCAGAGGTGCTTACTACATGGTCACTCAACTGTTGTTGAGGGCCTACCATCAAGGCATCCACGTCTCGAGCGAAGAGGTGCTGAGGTTGCGCAATGTGGCTCGGGAAGCGGAGAAGAAAGGACAGAGCATCATCTTTTTACCATGCCATCGATCGCATGTCGATTATGTGGCTTCGCAGTTGCTCTGCTACAGACTCGGCTTGACAATGCCTGTCGTTGTTGCTGGTGACAACTTGAACTTTCCGCTGGTAGGAAACTTCTTGCAACATGCCGGTAGGTCACGCGTTTCCAAGATGCTCCCTATCAGACATCCACCCTAACCGCTAAGACAGGCGCCATGTTTATCCGTCGTTCCTTTGGCGATGACCAACTCTATACAACTCTGGTACAAGCCTACATTGATGTTCTTCTCCAGGGCGGTTACAACTTTGAATGCTTCATCGAAGGCGGTCGTTCACGTACGGGCAAGCTGCTCCCGCCCAAGTTCGGCATTCTCAGCTTTATCCTCGACAGTATCCTATCCGGTCGCGTCCAAGACACCGTCATCTGCCCCGTATCATACCAATACGACAAGGTGGTGGAAACAGAGGGCTACGTGACCGAGCTGCTGGGCGTACCCAAGAAGAAGGAAAACCTGGCTGACTTCCTCAGTGGCGGATCAAGTGTGTTGTCACTGCGCCTCGGCAGGGTTGATGTGCGTTTCCATGAGCCATGGAGCCTCCGGGGGTTCATTGATGAACAGGTTATCAGGCTGTCCAAGGTACCATCTAGCATTAACTGGAAAGACATGAAGAACCCCATTGTGCGGCAGAAGCTGCTCCGAACCCTTGGGTACAAGGTCTTGGCGGATATCAACGACGTCTCGGTGGTGATGCCGACCGCCTTGATCGGTACCGTTTTACTTACCCTACGCGGCCGTGGTGTTGGCCGTGCTGAACTGATCCGCCGTGTTGAGTGGTTGACGGCCCGCGTCCGAGCCAAGGGTGGACGTGTCGCCCATTTTGGAAACACGCCGGTGTCAGACGTGATTGAACGTGGTCTGGAGGTTCTCGGAAAGGACTTGGTTGGCGTGGCCGAGGGTCTGGCGGAAACTACTTACTACGCCGTTGACCGGTTCCAGCTCTCCTTCTACCGAAACATGACTATCCACCTGTTCATCTCCGAAGCGCTAGTTGCTGCGGCTCTCTATACGCGCGTCAAGCGTGGTGGCGGACCGGCAATCCAGGACATCCCGTACCAAGACCTGCACAACCAAGTACTATTCCTGTCGTCGCTGTTCCGCGGCGAATTCATCTACTCGGGCGAGGGCTTGGCTGTCAACTTGGAGAAGACGCTCATGGGGCTAGAGGCGGATAATGTCGTCTTTCTAGAAAGAGATGAGCTCACAGGCGCGATCACCAAGGTCGGGCTGTCGGATGCCGAGCGCGCGGCGGGCAGAGAGAACTACGATTTTTACTGCTTTCTCATTTGGCCCTTCATCGAGGCAAGCTGGCTTGCTTCAGTGTCGATTATGGGGTTGACGCCTCCGTTGGGGCAGAAGGATGATATCTGGATTCAGTTTTCAAAGGCACAGGAAAGTGCACAACTAGTAGGTCACTCTGAATTTCTGGGAATTGCGGCATTTTTGGTTCAAGAGCAACTAACAATGTACTCAACAGCTCGGCAAAACCCTCTACCACCAAGGCGACCTCTCCTACTTTGAAGCCGTCAACAAAGAAACGCTCAAGAACTCGTATCAGCGCTTTGAAGAAGAAGGCATCATCCAAGTCGTCAAGTCCAAAGACCCCAAGGTGCCTCCGCGCATGCGTCTTGCACCCGAATGGCGGCCCGCCAGAGACGAGATCTCGGGCGTTCTCATTGCCTCCGGACGTCTGTGGGATTTCACCGAGAAGATCGCGTCCAGCAGGCGAGAAGGCAAGAACAGACGTGATGGCGCCACGGTGAGTACCAGAGTGGTCAGGTTGACGGACGATTTGGGCCAGAAGCTGTTTGAGGAAGCGATTGCGGGTACGGATGGTAGCAAGAAGGGGAAAGGAAAGGGCAAAGGAAAGGGCAAGGGAGCGGCACCGGCGAGGTTGAGTAGGGAAGAGGAAAAGATCTTGACGGCGGATTTGAAGGAGAGTAAGAGGAGGAGGACCCTGGAGAATCGGGCGCACTTGTGAGGGAGGGTTGGTGGAGGGTTTGGGGAATTATGATACAATACATGACGAGGAAATAACAGAGAGCTCATGCATAATCGAAATAATAATTCTGAGACTAGTGTATGTGATCTTGTTCTTCCCATTGTGGTCGTCAACTTCTTACCTTGGCTTGATGCCCTGGTTCTTAGTTGAATGTTCCTTTGCTTGTGGCTTCATCGCAGTGCCTGGAACTAGCTCACGCTTAGCGCAATTGCACTAACATTTCCACCATCCAGCTACGAATAGGGCGGGAAGTAGGGTCTTGGCAAGAATCACAGCACGAGTCACGATTAAAGTTATGACCCTTAACAATTTATGACGCCCGTCGTGCCCGTCCACCAGAGGAATGTTCGGATTGTTTCCGTCCGCAGATTCGCATCTTTGCGTTTTACATCCCCAACCTCGAACCTCAAACCTCCAAACCCCGGCGTCTCGCCAACTTGCAGCATCAGTGTATTACAGCCTTTGCGGACTTTGTTGAAATGGCGGTCGAGGGCCGACCTCCAACACCCAAGTCGATCCTCCGAGGTCACAAGGCGCAGGTACATGCCGCCACCTTTATTCGCAACAATGAGCGCCTCGTCACTGGTGATGCCGATGGTTTCGTCATCGCCTGGGACCTGACCATCATGAGGCCTCGCGCGGTATGGCAGGCTCATGATAACGCCATCCTAGGAATTGCTGGATGGGGTGACGACCGCATCATAACCCATGGTAGGGACAACAAGCTCATTGTCTGGAAGCTCACCGGCGATGATGAGGCCCGTATGAGTACGACTCTTCCACTCGACCCATGCACAGAACCGCGTCCAAAGCCATGGATCTTGCATCTCCTGGAAGTCAACACCATGAACTTCTGCTCTTTCTCATATTGTCCTGTCTCGGCTCCTGTACTACCAGGTCAGCAGGAAGACCAAAGTCAAGACACAGCAGAAGAGTCAAAGTCGGAGTCTGAGCTACTCATCGCAGTTCCCAACACGCTGGCGTCCGAAGCGGTAATTACGACCGATGAAGAAACCATCTCTCTCCTCCGAAAACTCGCTGACTTCCACAGATTGACATCTTTCATCTCCCTTCCCAGACGCGCCGCCATACTGTTAAGTTGGGCGATAAGAACGGCATGGTCATGGCCGTGGCACTGTTCAACCAGGCAGACTCTTTAACCTTGGTAGCTGGGTATGAAAATGGCCTCGCTATAGTAGCTCATCGGGACCCCGTCAAGAACGACTGGGTACCTCTCTACCAAGCAACCTGTCATTCTCAACCTATCCTGTCGTTGTCTGTTTCTCCTGCCCGGGATTTCTTCCTCACGTCAAGCGCAGATGCAGTCATTGCTAAGCACCCCTTGCCTCCTGTGGTCTCACAGAATACAACACCGACACACGTCACAACGACTCAGGCCGATCAAGTGTCTGGGAGTGAGGAGAGCAACAGATCTGTCAACGCAGCGGACAAAGCTGCTGGAAAGTCTCTGCTTGGTGCGGCCTTGGCTAAAGCAAAGCAGAATCCTTCATCGCAACCAAAACCAACACTCCAGCCCGAAGAAGTACTAACTCATCCGCTGAAGACCGTCAACACAAAACATGCAGGACAGCAAAGCATCGAAATCCGCTCTGATGGCCTGATCTTTGCCACTGCTGGCTGGGATAGCAAGATCCGCGTTTATTCCACAAAGACGCTCAAAGAGGTTGCCGTCTTGAAATGGCACCAAGTTGGATGCTACGCTGTCGCTTTCGCCCATATTGCACCAAACACTGGTGCTCCTTCAATTAACGGCCAGAATCCAACGGCAACCGAAAGGACCACTGGTACCCAACCGACTAGGTCTGATTCCTTGGGCCATGGAACACAAAAACCACACATGGACAATAGCCTCATCACCGTCGTTCCGAAGCTTGTCGAAGTGACAGTCAGGGATAAGCGTCTCAGACAGGCAAAGGCGGCACATTGGCTGGCTGCTGGAAGCAAGGACGGAAAGGTCAGTCTCTGGGATGTCTTCTAGACGTTCGATGCGGCTGCGGCAACGTGGATTTAAGTATCTTGGGAGCACCTGAGAAGCAAAGATTGCATCTTCACTCCTGTCATCCCAGTCGTGGAGCAAAGACGGGAAGCAGCATCAATCGAGGTCAACATAAATGACCCCATTTCACTCTGTGTAATAGACGTTGAGTGTCCGTGATGCCAGGGGAGGAGGTTTGACTCGACAACCACACTGCCATGCTCCGTATATGGTTCCAGAATTCCTCAGGCTTGGCAAGCGAGCTCGTGACTCGGTGTAGGTTCGCAGGAGATCATGCCCTTGGCGCCATTCCAATTCCATGCTCGGCAACTCAAGCCGATGCACTTCTCTGACACAGGCCTGACAGGGTTCCCCAACCCGGTCCGGGTAGCGGGCGTTCCAGATCCCGATCTGCCCCTTCTCATGGCTGGCTCCCCAAACAGGAAACTATTGTGCAATTCAAGAGTGGTGATAGGCCAGTTGGACAGGACTCCATCGGCCCCTACGACGCCATCTGTCGGCAAGTCACGTTCTATCGATGCGAAATCTTGACGCCGACAAGCTGAAATCGGAATGAAAAGCCATACCGCGATCCCACAGATCTGGCCAGCCAACTAGCTCTTGTCATGGCGTCCCTCCGGTCCAAGCAGGGCAGTCATGAAGCCTCTATTGCCCCAGCCATCCTTGCAAAGGCTCCTGTTGTACTCCTGCCTGTAACCAGCCCAGCACATGAACATAACACCACTTTCCAAGACATGCATACTCTCACCTTGGCTTGCATTGGAGCAAATGGGCATATGGTTCCCCTTGTGCCATCTGGATAGTCGCCAAAGAGTTACAGAGTCAACCTAGTTGTGCCCCCAGCCAGTATCACTGCTTCCACGTAGGCTCCCTTCATCAAAGCCCTTGCTCACATTGGCATATCCATGTCCCTCAAGAGCGCTATGTCTTGTGTGTCTCGACAATTCTTACCTCTTCTACTAGGCCTTCCCCTGAAAGAATTTCGGACGGCTCGACCGGAGTTGCTCTATCGACCCAAAACGCAGCATCACTTCCGAGGCATCCACTTTACTTTACCTCTCCCTGTTCCCAGATTACATGTATTGGCGAGCGTTCGGCTGCCTGCCTATTATTTTCTTTCCACGGATCTCGATCGGGAGACGCCGCGGCCCGACTTTCGCAAGTTCTGAGCTGTCTCCTTGATCACGGTTGCCGTGTTTCTAGAACAGATCTATCACCTCTTCGACACCGAGACACGCTTCGTGGCGTTGCCTTTGCGGCCCCTGCTGCGTTGAACATCCTTGCAGACGTCGGTGGCCCGGGTCTGGGTTCAGAAAAAAATGAATCCAGGCGTCCAACATCCAAAAATACACACAAATCAACGGATTGTTGAACGGCATGGTGCCTTACCGCCGCCATCATCAGCCCATCTTGCTGCATTCGATGATCCCTCACAGTCCTATTCTGCCGTCGCCAACTCATATCCGACTAGCGGTGGCCCTTACGAGGCGTCGCCAGCGAAACGGGTAAGAATATCAGGCATTCTAGCATCCTCAACCGCAGGCTGGGGCACAGGTCAACAGCATGGCCAAGATCATGATGCAGAAGTAGGGCCTTCTACTGAAGCGGGTCCAAGAGCTCCCAAGTCCACTTACCGTGAGAAGAATGGCGATATCACGGTGAAAAAGTCCAACGCAATACCGCAAAGCGGCAGCACGAGCAGCAGTGTCAACACTAACAACAAGTCTCGCCGGGTCCGCACTGGGTGTCTAACCTGCCGTGGCCGCCACCTCAAGTGCGATGAAGCCTTCCCGGAATGCAACAACTGCCGAAAGAGTTGTCGTGAATGCAAACGGGGTCTACGCCTGAACTTCATCGATACCCGAGTCAAAAGTCCGCCATTTGTGCCGCCTACGTTGGAGTGGTCAGGTATGCCGTTCCATTCAAAAATCCAAGAATTCGGTGCCGGTACCGGAAGGCTGCATAACTGCATGGAAGATGCTGACACAGGGGTTACTACAGTAAAATTTCATGACGAGTCGCGGCTGATTGCGTCGGAGTATCAGGGTGGATTGGGACGCTATCCCCGGCTGGATCAGAACACCGCCGTCACGCCGCCTCATGAGACAGAACTGAATGCCACGCTCCGTGTTGTCGCTCAGAAACAGGATGCCGGTGACGGCAAGACCTACCACCCGGACAACGACGTCACTCCGGGCCTTGGTGAACAGGATGTGGTCGACAAAGGCAGTGATGCTGCTGGCTTGATAATAAAACTCTTCCCTAACCAGCCCATTTACGATGGAAATCAGTTATTCCAACCCCAAGATCTGCACCTGCGGAATGACAGCGACGGTCCTTTCACGATGCGGGTCAAGATCTCACAAGTAAGCACAATGTATTGTCAGTATCATCATTCAGAGTGCACTTTTACTGACGGAAATTGAACAGCACCACACAACAAAGGATGCCTGGGCTTCACAAGCCCAAGGATACAGGAGGAGCGAGGTATCATCGAGTGCGGTGCCTTCTTTTTCCCAGCACGGCCATCAAAGTCAGTCTGCACGGCAAAGCGTTGCTTTGACGACCTACGGGCTGCAAACCAGCCAAAGCCAACACGCGCCCGAAGCCATGTCAGAAAACTCAACAGCCAGGACTACCCCATCAAAGAAAACAACTGTCGAACGGGACTACCTTGGCACGGATTCCGAAATCCATCTTATGCAAGTGTTCATTAGCGAAGTCGCCCCCTGGATGGACATCCTTAGTAAAAGCAAGCATTTCGCCAACATGATGCCCGACCTAGCCCTCAAATCACCCATGCTTCTCAATGCTCTCCTAGCCTGTGGCACCATGCACCTCTCCCTAACACAACAACAACAACAACAACAACAACAACAACAACAACAACAACAACAACAATCTTCTTCCCAACCTTCCGGTATCAGCAGTGTCAACAAAGCCTGTTCGTACTACGATCTCGCAATGATGGAGCTCTTGCATAACGTCGAGCAGACTGGCCCACCATCGGACCGCAATGCAGCCGAGTGTGCCACCGCGGCTACTGTGCTCAACGCGTACGACATTATGAACAGCGGCGGGAACCCGTCCCCATCCCCGTTCCCGTTCCCGTTATCGAGATCGCAGCAGCAGCAACAGCAGCGGGTAGCAGTAGATTACCACATCGCCGGCTGCGCCAGGGCGCTGGTAAAGGAATGCGGGTGGAACGCGAACTCGGCGTCCGCGACGGGGACTGGTGTGGGGGAAGCTTGTTTCTGGTTCAACGGGTGCATGGAGGTGCTCAGCTGTTTGCAGCCGGCGCTGGTGATGATGAACTCGTGGCAGCAGACCCCAACTGTTTGGGATCCCGATCAGTGGGGGCTGGATGTGAATGTTGACCGATGGGCGACTGCTGCGAATAGTACAGCGGTTACGGGGAACGACAGTAATCTGAAAATAATTGAAAATGATCACCAGTCGCCCTTTGGGCTTCATCGGCTCGGTGCTTCGGGCGGTGGGGGCTACGGCGCTGGTAACGGCAGCGGAGAGGAAGAGCTTTGGGCGCAACGCATCCTCTACGTCCTCGCCAAGGTTGTTAACTTTTGCTCTGCAAACAACAACAGCGTGTCACGATACCAAGAAACCTCGCCTCACGACGAACAGATGCGTCTCCAGAGGCGATTCACGGAGTGGAAGAGCCTCAATGACATGTGCGACGCCTGGAGAAGTAACTGTCCGCGATCAATGCGGCCGTATGGATATGTTCGCTCGTCCTCGAGTGGGTCGTTGTTTCCTAATGTCTGGTAAGCTTCATCTCTCTACCCATTTCCATGCGGAACATAAAATAACTAACAAGCCTCGTTGTTCTAAAGGCTCATCAATCGCCCTGCCCTCATCGCCCGCCTCTTCTACCACGTAGGCATGTGCATCCTCGCCCAAGTAAGCCCCGTCAGTCCGCGCGATAGCGACGCCAACCGCGAGCTTCAGCAACATCACGCTCGGCAGGTGTGCGGCATCGCGGCGCATAACAAAGATGGCGCCGTGGCGTCGATAGTGACTCGCTGCGTTGCGACCGTGAGCGGTGTGCTATCCGATCGAGCTGAGCAGACTGAGGCATTGGCTATCCTTGAGAGGATCAGCACCGAGACTGGGTGGAGGTTGGGTAGCTTGGTGACTGATATGAAGAGGGCTTGGAGCTGGGGAGTTGTTGAGATGCCAAACGGTGGTGGTGGTGGTACAAATGCTGCCAACGGGAACAACAATAGAGGAGGAGGAGGAGTAGAAGGAGGAAAAGCCTTCGCTTCGGCTCTACTTGGTGCTGGCGGTCTGACCTCGGCGACCGGGCAGACAACGATGGAGTTACCGCTTCCGTTGCCTTCGAGACCGCCTTCTATATCACAGCTTTTTGGTACGTCGTCGCAGGCTCAGCAACAACAGGCGCCAGCTGCCAGGACTCCTTCCACAGCGGCAGCAACTACGTACTCCAACTCGCCTACTATACCTAATTTGACGATTGCTCAACCAAATCTTGCTATCACTCCTTCAAGCAGCCGACACCAGCCGCATCAGACGCATCAGACTCATCCGACACACCAAAGCAGACCTAGTCCCCCTTCTTCGGCTGTGGGCGTTAGTCAACAAGCATACCAGAGATGGTACCACCAGGCCCCTTCGCCTATAAGGTCAGGCACTATGAGTTCACAGCATATGGAAGGGGCAGGAGGCTCTTCTTCTCTGGGATGGGGTTAAAATTCGGTATACATGATCTCTGCCGAGACGTTTCGCTATGGTAGACTTCTCAAGTTCCCTGTCACCACTAGAATTTCGCTCCACGTTTTGTTCCATTTGGTTAAATTGCGAGGCTACTTGCCGAGAATTTCGAGGTCCGAGAAAAGTACTTAATAATCATATTTAGCAACCCGCACATTCCATCAATAAATTCCACCATCATCAAAAAGACGACTCCTGGTCCATGGGCAGCCAGTGTCACGCCAACTCGAAGAAGCGAAGATAACCAACTCATCATCCCATCTCACCACCTTCATGATCGCCCCCCCTCTGAGCCCCTGTGACAGAGAACTTAGGCCTTGGTGATTTGAGGAACATAGCCTTCAACCTTGTCGACAACAGCCTTCTCGAGGGTGATAGCGTCAAGAACAACCTCGCCGCCATCGTTGGCGGTGCCAAGGCACGTGACCAGGCAGGCCGCGCAGGCGGGAGGGCCGGCGGCGCACGCGGAGGCGAGGCAAGCGGCGATGCAAAGCTCCTGGGGGTGGATGTCAGTGGCAAGAATTTAATCATAGGAGAGAGGTAGGTAGGCAAGATAGGCAGGCGTTGGGGCTAGGGAGGATGGGGGATGTCGTACAGCCAGGACTCCCTATAGTGAGATTACTTTGTTAGCAAGCTGAACCGCCGTTTACTACCCATGTGGTTAAGAAGGGAGAGCGGGAGGGGGGGAACTCACGCGCTGCTGAAGGCCATTGATGGACTGGTCCATGCGGGCGGCAGGGGATGCCATGGCCAGGCCGGCGAGGGCGGAGGTGAGGACGGTGGTGAAGAGCATTGTGTAGGGTGGTTTTTGATTTTGGTGGAAGGTCGAGTGCTTGATGGTTGATGGTTGATGAGGAACTGTGGATGTGAAGGTTGATGGTTTTTTCTGGTCAGAGTTTAGGAAACTTGCTCCTCTTTATAGAAGTTCATTGTCAACGAAAGGTCGCCTGCACGGTCATCGTCGCCCCCACGGTCATCCACGCAGTCCAAGAAATCACTTGCTCAACGAGGTAGCCCTTGGAATACCGGTGTGATATTGGAATTACCTCGACTGCGTCGATCTGCATCCTGTCCTCACCTCATCCATCAATGGAACAGTAAGAGCGGCACAACAATCATCCTCCATCCCCCCTCTCCCCCCTTCTGAAGCCTGGTGGTTGTCTATTTTAGCTCTGCCATCATAGACACAATCGGCGATCCTTTCTTGTTTTCGAGCCAGTGTGTTCCATCCTGTGAACGTGGTTGTTGAACAAGTTCTAACTGGTTACCTTACCTTAACCAGGACCTACCTTACGTCTACTTGCCTTACATACAGTACCCACCTTCCTACCTAGGCACCTTGGATACATAGGATTCGTTCCATAGCGCGCCACCTGGGTTGTTGAAAAGGATCCTTGCGATGTTCTTGCAACTGGAAAATACATTTCAGGACGAATTATACACGAAAATGATCCATGGATCAGTTTGAGATGACAAGACCATCTCCAGGATGACGTTAAACCCGTCTCTAAGACCAAAATAATTTACTTTGGCAAAATCGCCTACTATGAACATGACATCAAAAAGAATCTCATGAGTAAAATACTTATATTAGATGATAATACGACGAAGGGACCATGACTAGGCAATATCGCTTTACGTAACAAGAACATCCCTACCCCCAGGCGTTGATTTTTCAGGATGGAACTGATTTATAGACAAGTTTCAATACAAAATCATACACTTCATTGGAAAATCTGACAACTATTGGACAATCCCGGAGATCCTTTTCTACAACCCGGGTAGCGCGCTATGGTTGAGATGGGAGGCAATTATTTCCAATTCAAAAGGCTCTAAGCAACCACAGAGTAAGTGCATAGGTAGTAGCCCTTCTCAGCCAATGCACACCAATGACACTCAGTTGTTGTTCACTCTTTGCCAACATTGATCGGCGCGGGAAGCACAACCTGCATGTGTCAAATGGTTCTATTGAATCCGGGGGTCGTCCCGCAACCCGCAGCGGCCCGTACGTTGCATTCGGGGAGTTGCAACCAAACACTTACTATTACCTTGGCAGCGGCACAGACTTGACGAGGTCAAGTCCTTGCATCAATATCTATGCTTGTCAGCCTTCACTACAACGCGTAGGGATCTTGTGTCTTTACGCTAAATGTTGTCACGTTCCTTCAAAATGTTGTCACTTTCCTTTATGCTGGCTGGTTGGAGGGGATCCAAAACGCAGCAAATGCGAAGCCGGAAACACGGCAAGGCAGCCTCACTTGATGCCTTCATCCCTAGAGGTAGCTACTGTCAGCAGTAGTTGACGAAGCCCGGTTGGTTGAAAGGCTGAGACGGACTGTCATCAATTAACGCAGATAAGACGTTCCTGCTGCTGGTACCGTCCAAGATCGTCGGCGAGAGCAGGTTGAGCAGCTCGTATTCATCCTTCAACCTTTGTTCACCCCAAAATGTGACAGTGTTTGTTGAGCCAGCTGAGTTCCTAATAAAGAGGCTCCGAGACTCCTCGGAAGTTATCCAACCAAAGACATTGCTTATCTCAAGCCTTTAACAAGTCAAAGGTTGAGGCTACACGTAATCTAAAGTCTTCCCATTACCCCATGATTGCAACCAAACATCAGGCTCAGCCCATCGCAAGTCTGGTACCACCTTTACAGCCCAACCATCAACACCAAGTCCCCGGCAGACGCCAAGATGCGAGCAACACTGGTGGCCGTTCTCTGCCACCTCTCTCTGGCCTTTGCACTGGCCGACGAACGGACAGTGCTAAGAGCGGCCATCTCGCCAGCGGTCTCGCACTGGAAGAGGAGTGCAAGACTTGCTAGTGACCAGTCCATCCACATCGACTTGGCACTTGCTGTCGATCAAGACATCTCTGGCACAGCGGCCCAGGCCCTCGAGAGCATCTCGGACCCTGACTCGCCCAGCTTTGGACAACACTGGACTCCAAACAGGATCGCCCAGTTCTTTGCGCCACCCAGGGAAAGCATCCGCCAAGTGGGGAGATGGCTCAACAGCTCTGGAGTGCCGCGGTCGGCCATGCGTCTGTCTAGGGACGGCACCTTCTTGTCGTTTAACGTCAGCGTGGGGCAAGCCGAGCAGCTGTTGGGAGCCGAATTCCACCTGTACCGCCATCTTAACGGTTCCACAACGCAGACGGCGTCGGAGCGATACTCGTTGCCGGCACGAGTGGCCAGGTACATCGACTATGTCCTGCCCGCTCCGGACCCGGACCCGGTCTCGTCGGCGCCCAAGTCTGTTGCAGTGCAGGACCCGCCGACGCCCAAAGGCGGAATAGGTGCACGTCAGACGCGCGACGTCGACTGCCTGCAATATATTGCGCCGCAGTGCCTTCGGCAGCTGTATAATATGGACGACGGCGCCGGCCAGAAAGCTCACCCCAACAACTCGCTGGGTGTATATACGCCTTCCTACAGCGCGTGGCTGGCTGAAGACCTTGACATGTTCTTTGGCGACTTCGCCTCGGACCTGGTCGGTCAGCGGCCTGACTTCATGTCGATCGCGGGCGGGACGCGCCAGACCGAGTACCAGTTGACCAACTTCAACCTGGAACCCAACCTGGACTACGAGTACACCATGGCCATGGCCAAGCCGATCCCCGTGACCAACATCCAGGTGGGCGACTTGGTGGTGCAGGGCAACCTCAACATCATGCTGGCCGCCTTCAATGAGCACTACTGCCGCACCGGCCTAGACCCGCAGTTCGACCCTGTGTACCCGGACCCGGCGCCGGGGGGTTACAACGCCAGCGACTGCGGCACGCACGTCCCGCCGCGTGTCATCGCCATCATGTACGCATGGAACGAGGCCTGGTACTCGGACGCATACGCCCGCCGCCAGTGCCTCGAGTTCCTCAAGCTGGGCCTGCAGGGCGTAACGGTGCTGACGGGCTCGGCCGACCGCGGGCCGGCCGACCAGCTGACCTACTGTATCGACCCAAACGACCCCAAGAACAGCACGGCCAGCGAGGGGTTCTTTGCGTCCGTCTTCCCCGCCTCGTGCCCGTGGGTCACGTCGGTCGGCGGTACGCAATTTCTGCCCGTCGTTTCCAACGGCAGCAGCAGCACGACGGCTAGTAGTGGCGTTCCGTCGTCGTCGTCATTCCCGGGCGAGACGGCGCTCGACGACAACAACACCGTATCGTCCGGCGGCGGCTTCAGCCGCCTCTTCCCGGCGCCGTGGTACCAGGGTAACCTGACGCACGAGTACCTGGCCTCCGCGCCGGGCGCCGCCGAACTGGCGCGGCAAGGCTACTTCAACGGCTCGGGCAGGGGCTACCCGGACATCTCGGCCATGGCGCGGAGCTTTCTAGTCGCGCTGCATGGCGGGTACCACGCTGTGTCGGGCACGTCGGCGTCGACGCCCGTCGTTGCCGCCATGGTGGCCAAGATCAACGACGCGCGGCTGCACGCCGGCAAGAGCACCGTCGGATTTCTCAACCCTGTCCTGTATTCTGACGCTGCGCGGAAGGCGGGCGTGCTGCGCGATGTGCAGCTGGGCAAGAATCACGGGTGCGGAGTCGGCGAGGCGTTCCCCGCCAGGCGGGCGTGGGATGCTGTGACTGGGTTAGGAACGCCGGACTTTGAGAAGCTGAAGGAGTTGTACCTCGGTTTGCCATGAAATTGGCTCGGTTGGGTAGACTTGAGAGAGGATTGTTGGATGGTCGTTTCTTGATGGGTGGTGGGCCGTGGGCGGGGGAGTGGGAAATTCAAGATTTGCTTCCAGCTTGCATGTACATCATATGTAGTTAGCGAAAGTCCAGGTACCTGCTTGTGTCATGTACCTCACCATGTGCCCCCGAGCTTGTTGGTACTTTGTAAACGAACTTCTGGCCAATAGGCAGAATGCTTGCCCGTCCTGTGCCACACTGCTACATGCAACCAGAGGGGTAACTCTAGCATATAAAGTAGAGTGCTCAGCACCCTCCCAGCTTGACCTCGTGTCGTCTCCTTTTATTTCTCGCTAGTTTCTTGCCATCCTTACCCCAGTCACGTCATCCCATTCGCCTGATTCTTCCTACACTCGCCAAAGACGGATTCACCTAGCCATCTGCTGCAAATCCCCTTGACAACATGAGTGCCCCGACGACCAGCGACGCGGCAAAGTCTGAGCAAAAGCTGCCTTCGCGCGAGGAGCAGCTAGCCACAATGACCGCACGGGTGGAGGAGTTTCAAAAGCAAAACCCCTCGGCCGATTTCAAGCTCGAACAGAAGTGGTGGGTGCCGAGCCTGGATTTCGGCATCTTGTTGCAGGTAAGGAATGCCCCTTTCTTCTTCTTCCCGTGATGAACCTGTGATACCTCACAGTCAGGACGCTGACGTGGGATTCAGGATGCTCTTCCACAAGAAATCAACGCCGAATTCGGCGCCATCTTTGCAAAGCTCTTCCAGGATAAGTTTGCCCCCGAGGCCGTGGCCAAGGCACGTAAACAGTCGAGGGAACTGCTCCAGGCAAAGTATCCCCATGTGCTAGAGAGGGTGGAGGAAATGGTGTTTAAGAATGAGGCGCAGCTTGCCGAGTTGCACCACCATCTACAGGGGGTTGACTCGATCGGATGTGCGGGCGGAAACTGCTGAGACCATGAGATGGATGCATTGCTTAGACCTCGACACTTCTCTCTTTCATGTCCTCCTTTTGATCTGGACCATCCAACAAGTATATATTGGGGTTGCCTATCTCACCTAGACAGTCATGTAATGATACCGTGTCGCCTTCGTCCCACTTAAGTGATACCTCAGCCTCTATCGCGTCTACTCTGACCACCACCTGCCGCCACAGACTGATCCCATACGACCCGGACAGCAGCGAGTGGCCACCAAGGCACATAGATTCGCCTCGCCCTTCCCTTTGTTTGTTTCTTCCCCCTGTCTGCTTCAGACCCGGCGAGGTCAATCCGGTAGAAGAAACCGTCTTTGACGGACAGCATGGACGGGATCTTGAGGCCGAGGCGGCAAATGGCGTGGGAGTGGGAGGAGCTGTCGTTTGAGAGGGATGCGGCAGCCTCGATAGACCCTACCCAGACAGCAGCATCCTTTCGGTGACCTGGTGGTCGAGGGCGCTGGTCAGCTGGGTGGTGCCGAAGGAATCCTCAATTGCGAAGGTCTGTGAAAGGGATTAAAATCAGCAATTGTTCACTTGGCAGGGACATGGAAAGTGGGATCGGTTGGCTAGCGAAGCGGATCCGCCTAACCGATGTCCCCTGCAGATTTTCCCGCTACGATAAGAAGAAACATTTGTCCCATGTCATATTCCAAGTTCCCAACCCATCCCGAAAAGGAGAACAACAATCCCATTATGATGACCAGACGGTTGCTGTTGCAATAGACACAAGTGAGGACACTGAGGCACGTAAAGTGTACGAGAAGTGGCAAGCTTCAGAGCCGTGTATATGTCTTTGCCGTTGGTATGTAGAGGTAGCATTCCCGTCGATACCTTCTTCAGGATTTTGGTAATGGTGGTGGAGGGGGTGATAGGCTTGAACAGTAGTAGTAAGGTGTTGCCAGAAGTGCTTTTGTGATGATCCTGATGGGAAAAAGAAAAAGAGAATAGAATGGCGTGGAGGGAGACGGTCTATACTGTACTACCCATGGAGGAGTAGTGGGAGCACGGGCCACTAGAATTACTCTGATAGAAACATCAAAGCGCAAAAGGTACCTAATCGCCGAATCTTGTAGGTCGTGGGTGAGCATGTAGGTAGTCGATTTCGTAATATCATACAGTTGGACTGGCTACCTCTAATTACCTCTACTGTTGCTGATCATCGTTGCTTCAGTTTGATTGCAGAGAAACTGGACGGGTACTATTCTGAAGAGGTGAAAATAAGGATAAGTGAAGGAGAATCAGGCAAGACGCGCGGTTACGGAAGCGACCTGCTAGGTACCGTCCCAGAAGGGGCAGGTCAATGCATCCGCATGCGTAGACGGGAGGAGGTACAGACGAGAAGTACAGACGGGATGGATGGCAAACTGCAGGATGGAAGCAGGAACCAAGACAGCACAAGGGTCCACAATTAGGGCTGACCAATGACATGTTATACACAACTGCCATGGTCTCGTCCACGACAATCTGACTAGAGGTAGTTGAGGACACTCTAAAGTGGTTGTTGTGGTCAACCTCCTACGTCTCTATGGATCATTGTGACAGCTTGATAATGACCACAAATCCATCTGAACTGTCTGTCTCAAGGTCAAAGCTGTCGTTATCTCGGTGGAATCTGTCTACAGGTAGGAGCAAATTACAGTCTGGTACTTCAGATGGATCAGAACTATTGTAACTACACGTTCCGAGCAACTATCACTCCCTCTTTTCGGCTCATGGTGAGTGGTGTTGGGTCAATCTATCCTTCCCTCTGAGACTTATCCTCACGGCCGCTACTTCTTGTTCACTACAGTGGACTTGTCAACTGTAGTTCCGCCTTCGTTCAGGTCCCTACCTACCTGAACACCTCCTTGAAGAACCAGCAACTCCCCCGGCTCTTGAAATATTTAGGCCTCTTCGGTCTCCTGGCATCGGCACCTTTCGCATAGGCTCACCCTGGGTCTCTAAGGCACTGCAAGTTTAGTGTTCGTAGTGCCTGTAGATGCGAACGAGGCGCCCCTGGGGCCTTCAGATCCCCCCCCAGGGTCAAGTGCCCACTGGAGGGGTGTTCACTGGGGGTCTGATGAGAACTTATGCTGCTTCATAACTGTATACATAGCCTGGGGCCTATCTTATGCATTGTCCAGTCACGTGGTGGTCCTGCACCTTGTTTCATAAACAGTTCTCCCTTCCGTGCGAGCTCGTTCCGCGTTCCTTTCCCCTTTCCTCTAATCACAGAACAACAAAGTTCATCGCACTTTCATCGCACTTTCATCGAAAAGCACTCGCACGCATCGCAAAGCACTCGCACGCATCGGAAAGCACTAGCTCGCATCGAAATTCATCTGCAAATTCAACGGACACAACTGCTCCTGCCCACAATGAACAACCACAACTTCTCGAATTCTTCCGCGCTCGCCGCGTTGCTTCACGCACTTCTTTCTACCTTCTACGAAGCTGCCATCATGACAATCATCAAACTTGACTCCTTCCTCCTACCTCTTTGGATGTCAACCATCATCTCCATCGACAAAGCCATCGCCTCTACCACCGGCCTGTTTGCCTCTGGCGTTGGTCCTGCCTTCCGACTCTCCACCAACTTCGGCAAAGCGCTTCGGTGGCTGGCTGAGCAACTGCTACCAACAACAACAACATCAGAAGAGGAAACCAACATGACGCAAGAGACCCTCGATTTCCTGGAAAGCAGAATCCGGTACCTCGGCAACTTCTTCGACGCCACCATCGCCTCCATGGCCACCACCAAACCTCCCTCCTCACCCAAGCGCGACCACTCGGCCACATCTTCGTTCAACAACACCTCCTCCACCCCTGTCCGTCACACCCCAGTGCGGTCACAGGCATGTTCGGCACAAGACTACGTGCTGGACATGGCGCCATCGGATTGGGACTCGGAAGATGACAGAGCGTAGAACGTTCCTGATTCGGAAGGGCCTGATTTCGAAACCATGTCGGTGTTATCCGACTTCTACCCGTCTGATGATGACATCGACTGGTTGTCAGACCAGATTGTTGCGAGAGCCGCGCGTGCTGCCGCAAGGCGCCGCGCTTCTGACTTGGTGCTGGTGGGAGCTTCGGGGCTCTCCGAAGCAAGGGAGGAGAAGATGCGCGAAGAAAAAGCGTATCTGGTGTGGAAGAGAGGATACGACGAACGCCTGGCCAGGGATATGGCTACCAGAGCCGTCGAGAAAGCGAAGGAGGAAAAGAGGCTGAAGGCACTAGATGCCCACCTCGAAAAGCAGAAGCAAGCCAGGCTTGCACCTCGAGGCCCGAGAGTAATCCGGGACCCAATTTCGGGGCGCGTGTTCTCCAACTAGAACACCGCCTCTCCCTTCTCGCCCGCCTCCGCTTCTCCGCCATCTCCAACAACTCCTCCGAAACTCCATCAACCACCAACCTCACCACTTCCCACTCCTCCTCTTTATCCTCCTCTTGCCTCCTCTCTTCCTCGACCTCAGCACCTCTAGCAACCGCTAGAGCAGCCGCCGCCGCCGCCGCCGCCGCACAAGCTTCTTCTGCTGCTGCTGCTGCTGTTGACGGACACTCGCAAGGTTCGCGACCGCCCGGCAGAAAAAAAAACGCGGTTCGTGACGGATAAGGGGACCAGAGAGACGAGCAGGGGTTTTTGTTGGGTGCGGCGCAGAAAAACAGGCCGCAGGTGGTGTTGAGCGAGGATGATGATGGTGATGATGATGATGATGATGATGATGATGATGACGATGACGGCGAGTTAGTTGATTTGATCAAGGTATGTCCAGCCTCTCCTATCCTTTGACAAAGAACCCCAGAACTAACAAAACAATAAAGGGATGACGAGGAAGACAACGAGAGACGTACGAGGGGAGCAGAGAGGGGGGGGGGGGGGGGGGGGGGGGGGGA